CTGTGAGGTGTCACTGTGGACCAGGAGGGTGCACAGGGTGTGTGGGGGGGTTCAACCACCCACCTCGCCCCAAAGCTGGGCAATGACACAGCTCAAGAGGCCTTATAGGACAAAGGTGGTGGGGCGGGATCCCAGCTGTGCTGCCAGGTGGGAGACAGTACAAAGAGCAGCTGGGGGTTAGGTGGGTTAGCTGTCCCCACACCACCCTGCACAGGCCTCCCCCACCACCTGTTTCTGGCCCCGGATTCACAGCCTGACATCCTGCACAGCCCAGCCCACACCAAAGGTGAAGGGCTGAGCCCTGGCTCATCAGCGGGCAAAGTCCAGGGCTGGTGCAAGCGCTGTGGGAATGTTTGGCTCCCAGGAGGGACTGGGAGGTGGGTGGGGATCCCCCAGTGCTGGGGTGCCAGGGCCAGCCTTGGGGTGCAGGAACACACTGCCCTGTGCCCGCACTTTCCTGTAATTGACCTAACTTTAGCTTTGGCACTGGTTGACCAGACAATTTGCATCTCACAGGCTGGCTGGAAACCACACAATTTAGGGATGCGCGTCCTAGCCCTCGCCCAACGCTCCATATATTCCTCTCTGGGAAAATTAACAGGCACCGGGGTGACCACAGCCCTACGAGCCCCCCAGAGTCCCCAGCACAGCAGCCTGCTGAGAGGCCACCTGCTCCTGTCACGCCAAAAAGGTGCTCAGGTTCCAGTGCCGCTGGCCCCAGCAGCCATGTGGTTAACAGTGAGCTGTGCTAATGGCTTTGGATACAATTCCCCGGTGGTGTGGGAACGGCCCTGGCCAGCGAGTTCTGCCTGGAAGCAGGACTGGCCCTGGGGAGCCTTATGGTGGGTGCTGGGGTACCCAACATGGGCCTCCCAACATGAGGCACCTGACGTGGGGAATCCTGCAGGGACAGGCTGGCTGAACTCACGGAGGGTCTCTGCCCACCCTGGAGGGGCACAGCTGCCCCCACAGCACCCGCAGCTGGGTGCACACACCTCCAGCACCCCGAGCACGGGCGGGACACTCACAGGTGCTGCAAAACAATGAGGGAGTGGGCCTGTGGGCATGGGGACAACAGGGGGACACAACACACAAAACACACACCCCGTGGCGCAGCGGGGGCACGCACAAGGTGACACACACATGCAGACACGCACACGCGTGACTCCGGGGGCTGCACACCCACGGGCGCTGCACGACAAGTGCGGGCCATGCGCACACCCGGACCCCGCAACCGGGGGAGTGGCACCGGGGGGCCCGCACACACCTACCCACCCACCCACCCACCCACAGCGGTTCGCAACGCCGCGGAGGCGCGGGCACGAGCACGGTGCACGGCTCGGCTCGGCCCGGCCCGCCGGGGGGGGCGATGCAGGCGCGGCCCGCCCCGCGCCGGGAGGTGCGCGCCGGTGCCCCGGCCGCGGTGCTGCTCCTCGCTCCTCGCTCCCCGCTCCCCGGTTCCCGGTCCCGGCGGGATGGCGGGGGGGTTACTCACCCGGCGGAGGCGGCGGAGCGGGGCCCGGTGCTGGCGGTGGAGGTGCCGGGCCCCGGCGGCGGCAGCGCGGGGCGGGGCGGGGCGGGGCGGCCCCGCACCGGGGCGGGCACTGCCGGCTGTGCGCGCGCCGCCCGCCGCGCCGGGCGCGGCTCCGGTCGGCTCGGAACGGCGGCCCTGCCCACCCGCCAACCTGCGGGCGCTCAGCCCCGGTGCGCCCCGCACCCCCTCCCGGCGATATAGCCACCGTACGGGCCGGAGCCCGCAGCCCGCTGCGCGCCCGGGACCGGTGCAACCCCCCGCGCCGCACACCCGTAACCTGCCCACGGAGCGCGGTGACCCCGCACCCCCCCCCACCCCACCCTACCCCCCTCCGCACACGTACAACCCGTGTGCACCGGTGCACACGCAGTGTGTGCACAACCTGGTGTGACACGGTGACACGCCGGTCGCCCGCACACCCTGCACACACACACACACACACACCGGTCCTCGCCGTTCAACACACACACACACACACACACACACACACACGCTGGAACACGCCGTGTGCTCACACTGGCGCAAGCACAGCTCCGAGCATCGCACCGGTGCACACGAACGAGCTGCTGGGATTCCCCTTAGCGGAAGGATCCCATCGGGAGCAGCACCAGCATAGGGAAGGTTTCGGGATGCCGGGTGGAGCAGAGTGGATGGTGTCCAGTGGTCGGAGCATGGGGAATACAAAGCTGGACATGCAGAGTTGCCTGCAGAGCCGTTTTGCAGCTGGTGCTTCTCCCCCTGCACCTGTCCCCAGGGAGGGCTGTCAGCCTGCAGGGACTGACTGTCAGGGCAGTGCCCGGCTGTGAGGAGACAGCCCGTGGTTAATAATGAGCATTTCCCAGCCCCACCAGCAGCAAAAGCCGCACAGCCTTTGTTACACCCTTTCCACTGGTGTCCAGCTTTGAGACATCACGCCAGAGTTGGTCACATACAGTGAGAATCCTGGGACAGATGGTTTCAGGACAAGCCCCACCATCTCTGTGCTGGGTCAACCTTCCTTGGCCATCAGGTGTGGGAGCAACTGGGCCCGTCACTTCCCAGGACGTGGGTGGCTTGGGGAACAGGGACCCCAGGGAGAGGCAACCATGACCTCTTTCCAAAAGTGTTTTTCAGGGAAAGCTTCATCTCTGCTGGGAAGCTCAGGACAGACAGAGGGATGGCAGGGACAGGGGTCTGCCCCCTGTACCATCCCTGCCACCTCCAGTGGCTCCTGTTGTGTCCCGAGGTACCTCAGAGGACTCACTCCAAAGCCCTGCTACCATCCACCACAGACTGAACTACATGATCTTGTCTCTCCTGCCATCGGCCCGTGAGCCTGTCTCTTGGGACGCACCTGCCTGGTTGTCACAAGCCCCGCTCTCTCACAGCAGTAAGGCTGGCTGTGATTTCCAGCCCATGGCACGTGCCCAGGACACAGTTCCACTGCAGCAGCAGAACAGGACACATGTAGGGCATGGTGGGAGTGAGCTGACAGCCAAGCAAGGAGCCCTGTGCTGGGTCCTGGCCTGAGGGATGGGGCAGTGGAGGAGATGCAGCCCTTGCAGTGGCAGAGGACGGCGGCAGTGAGCGCAGCCGCCTGCTTTTGTCCCACTCTCCTTTGTCCCAGGCACGTGGCACCAAGCACAGGGAGCCACAGCCATCTGAAGAGCTGGGATGGAGACGGATGAGCTGGAAGGGTGGCAGAGCCCCATTTTCCAATTGCAGTGGCAATGCGCCACATTGTGTGACTGTACCACTGCCCTGCTCCCCAGCGCAGGCGGGTGAACAGCCAGTTGCAGCCTGTGGCAGCTCCTGCTTCCTTATCACACTGGGCAGGTGGCTGTGGGCTGATGGTGGTTGGAACCGCTGAGCTGTGGGACAGTGCAGGGTCCCCAGTGTCACACAGCCCTGCTACAGCCACTCAGTGGGGCCACCTCCTGCCACCTCCCCAGGGATAAACACCCCATGCTTCCCAGCGAGACAGCCAGCTGCTCGTGTCCACATGATCCCGTCTGGCCTGCCAGTCACAGGTTAGGCTGCCTTGAGCAGATCTCCCTGGCAGGTGGTTCCCCAGGCACCAGCAAATCCCACATCCAAGGGAAGTCTCTGTGTTGCCTGAAGTTTTCTATGGAGAAGCGGGACAGAGCTCCGGTGCCACTGGCATTTCGGGTGCTCCTGGCAGACGCAGATGGCTGGCCAGAGCCAGTGCCTGGAGCCGGGCTGGGAGGGGAAGCATCTGTTTTGCAGCACCGCGGGGTTCCCTAAATAGGTCACTGCGTTTTTATAGTCTCTTGGATCTAGAAAAACCAGTTGTTCCGGACAACCTGTGGACCCGCCAGCATCGTCGCAGCAGTGGCTCCCTGGGCGCTCCCCGCTGTGCCCCCAGGTCCTCACGGGGTGGGGGGGAGAAGGACACCTGCCCCACCAGCGGTGTGAGCAGGGGGAGGGGTTGAGGAGCTCACAGCAGCCCGAGCTGTGCCGGAGGTCTTGTTCTATGCTGGGGGTGACCCGTCCCTGGCTGTGCCCAGTGTGGAGTCTGCAGGGTGGGCTTTCCCCCCACCCTGCCTCTGGTTTGGGGTGTCTGCCAGCTCCAAGCTTTGAGCTGGGGTGTTTTTTAGCCAGAGCCAGTGTTTTTCCTTCTCGAGGAGAGGCAGGTGCCTGTGTGGGGGGCAGAGGGGTGTGCAGTGCCGCACACCCACCGTGCACCCGCATGCGCCAGCGGTGTCCCAGCCTGCTCGGGCTGAGCTCTCCCTCTAGTGGCACCAGGCTCCTGGCAAAGCCTCTATACACACGGGGTGGCAGGAGCCATGGCCAGGGCATGTCTGAGGGGCTAGAGTGAGCTGAAGGGCAAACTCCAACCTGACCCCCTCCTTCAGCCCAGATGCCCATGGCAGGTGCACAGGGAGTACACTGGGGGGGCTTCACAGGAGCATCCCACCACCAGCCCCCTGTTTAAGGACAGGTGGCCCTGCTCTTCCCATTCTCTGACCCCACATTTGCTGGGACGTGGCAGTGTAATCAGCCAGTGCACCCCAAGAGCCAGCGTCAGGCCTTGGGGGTGCAGCCCCACAGTTCTGCGTCATAGTGATCCCCGTCAGGGCGAAACCGTCCCCATACCCATCCTCATCCCACAGCAGCCAGCGAGGGGAAGGGCCCCCGCAAGTCCCAGCTTTCCCCTCGGCATGGCGGTGCCCTGCCCGCAGGAGGGGTCCCGCAGGACCCTGCTGAGCCCCCCGAGGCCTGTCTGGTCGGGTGCCACCCCGCCGCGCGTCCCTGCAGGGTCCCCCGGGCCGGGCGCCAGGCCCATGCCGCAGGCAGCGCTGACAGGGCGCTTTGTTTTGTGCGGCCGCGGCTGCCCAGCGGGGAGACAAAAGGGGCAGTCAGACGCGGGCATTGTGCCGGCAGCCATGCGCTGAGGCAGCAGCCCGCGCCGCCACGCTCGCCTCGTGACCCCCGACGGCCCGGGCTGTGCCCGCCATGGCGCCCCGGGGCCCACGGGGCCTGCCCCACAGGAGCCCCACACGGGAAGGGGTTGTGGGGCTGGTGGCTGCGGTCACCACAGGGATGAGGCCTCCCCAGACCTGTGGCTGGTGCCCCGGTGCAGGCCCATGGCGGTGGCAGTGCCGTGTGGAGCGCTGGGGCTCTGCGTGGCAGTGGGGACATGTCTGCCAGGCCCACAGCAGCTCTCACCTCCAGCCCCCCTTGCCCGCCATGGGAGGAGGGTGTTTGCACTGGCACGGTGAACGGAACCCACCTTGGCTGGAGGAGCAAGGTGACTGTGCCTGGCAGACTCCCAGCTGAGCCCACTACCCGCAGGGTCTCACGGGGAGGTGTCCCCGCTGTCCCCACGGTGCCAACTGGCGCCAGGGCCAGGCCAGCCCCCAGGCTCGCCCCGTGACGGCGCGGTGCATTGGCCCTGGAAAATGCCAGCGCGGTCAAATCGTTGAGTCATTTGTGACCAAGATTATCTGTGCAAACAGCCGCCCTGATTATTTTTTTTTTTTTATTATCAAATTTTTTTTCTTTTTTCCTAAGAATGTGGCTCAGACCATGGGGATGAGCAGCTGAAATCTCTGGGGATCAGCAGGACAATGCCAGAGCAAGCATTGTGCTGACGGCTCTGCAAACGCTGGCACCGGTTCCCGGCCAGCAGCACCCTATAAAAGCTGAGCCGCTGAAGTAGGCAAACATTACATGGGCGAAGCAGCAGTAACCGCCTGAGCTAGGTGAGTCCTGGGACCGATGCGCACCTCTCCCACCTCGCCCCTGCTCACCCCTCTGCTGCCAGCCGGCCGGGCAGACACCCTTTCTCCTGCCTGGTGGCAAAAGACACCCAGAGGGACCATCGCCATTTCCCGTGGCATAAGACAGGCTCACACGTCCCCGCTGGCAGCCAGGGGGGCTGAGAGCTCCTCTACCGCAGGGCGCCCCACTCCTGGCACCCACTGGCACGGCACACTGGTTGGCATCTCCCACCATTAGCCTTGGCCGTCCATGGGAGCCCACCGCGCCTTCCAGAGGAGGCAAGGCCGGGGCACCGGGCAGGGAGAGGGGAGCAGGCTGGTCTGCTGGACACCCTCAGGCACAGGGCAGCCTGTGTGCCCCCCACCACAGCTCCTGGCTCTGGCTCAGGGGTGTTTTTCCTAGAAATGGTCTGGCCGCGGGGAAGGAGGAAGGGGAATCGGGCACCGTGCCCTGGTGGGTGTGCAGGCTTCGAGCCGTGGCCGGGAGGAGGGAAGGGGCACCGCAGCGGTGAGAAGAGAGCAGTCTGCTTTGGATGTGCCACACAGCCCCCCGCTGTGTCCCCTGCCCCATCCTGTGGCCAGCAAGAGGGTTTCATTGCGACTGGCGTGGCTCACCCGCAGCAGTGGGGCGGCTGTCTTTGAACAGGCGCTGCGGGTGGCGGGCACAGAGCCGTCCCCCAGCCTCAGGAGCAGGCAGCAGGGATGCACAGGGACGTGCTGCAGTAAAAACGGCTTTTTCTTCCTTCTGCAGACACCGATCCAGCAGCAAAGATGGCTCAGACAAACCCTCTGCCTGTCCCCATGGGCCCGTGGAAGGTACGTCCTCACACCTCCTGTATCTCACCTTTCCCTGAGTGTAGGTGGGGGACAGGGAGAAAGACAAAGCGTGTCCTCCGGGGCCAGGAAAGCTGCACAGCGGGCAGTGAGGCAGGGACAAGCTCAGGAAACAGTCGTTCCTGTCTTCTACCCATGAGAATGTGCCTCCTGCCTGTTCAAATGCCTCCCAGGTGTTTTTCATAGGGGTCTTCACAGCATCCTGGCCCAGCCATGCCCTGCTCTTACCAGCTGTCCCGTGCCAGGCAGTCACAGAGTCCCTGAAAACCACAGGCTGTTGTTCACCCTCCCCTGTCCATGCAAGACAGGGTGAGCAGGGGCCATGGGCACTGTGGAGCAAGGTGGGGAGCAGCCCCAAAGGGTCTGGCAGTAGCTCCAGGGCCACAGGTCTAGGAGGCAGCTGAGAGGGAGAGGAGAAACACGTGCATGAGAGAGGCACATCCCGTCGAAGCCCGGAGCTGTCGCGGGAGATTCCATCAACCACAGCCCCCTGGGGAAGTCCCGCTCGCCCTTTCCCCCGTTAATCCTCTTTGCCCTAGAGCGTTCGGAGCAGAGGCCGGGAGAACCGCCAGCCACAGCCCTGCCACCCGCCCGTCCCAGAACGGCTCCGCTCCTCTCTCCAGACGGCACCGCTGCCCCGGGAACTGATCTCCGCAGGGGTGAGCAGGAGAGTGGAGCGGGGGCCAGCCTGCGGCTCCCCCAGCACCAAGGCAGGGCGTCGCGGGGCCAGCAGTGCAGGGACGTGGAGGCGTGAGCGGGGCTGTGTCCCAGCCCAGAGGGGTGCCCGGTGCAGCCTCTGCTGGCTCTCTCCCTGACGGAGCATGACCCTCCATCTCCAAGAGGCGCTGAATCGCCTGGGGCCGCTGCTGGGCAGTTTCCAACTCGGCAGCTCACTCTCCATTCCAGATCACCGTGTACGACCAAGAAAACTTCCAGGGCAAGAGGATGGAGTTCACTTCGGCCTGTCCAAACATTATGGAATGTGGCTTCGACAACATCCGCTCCCTGAAGGTGGAATGTGGCGCGTGAGTACCCAGCTGCCAGAGGCAGGGATGCTTTCCCAGGCAGGCTGGCTGGGTGAGGGGTGCCCAAGCGTGGAGCAGGACCGGCTGTCCTTGCTCTGGTTGGCTGGAGCCAAGGACCACAGCCAGGGGAAACCAGGCATAGGGGTATCCCACCCTGCCAGCGTAGAGCAGCCAGCCCTGGGCAGCACTGACACAGAGAGAGGGCCAGGGAACAGTGAGAATGCCCTTGGCATCATCCAAAACTGCCTGCCATGGTGCTGGAGCGGCCAGGTTTGGAGCAGGGTTGCTGCCCAAGGATGCAGTGAGGGTCAGTGTTCAGCGAGTGTCTCTTGAGCTCGGCCTGCTCCCCATCCTGCCTGTGTAACCCCGTGAAACACCAGCCCTAGAGAGCCACTTCTCTTGCCCTAGGGACCAGCCCTGCTCCACCCCAGGCTTTCCCTGCACCGCACAGCTACCCAGGGCCAGGGCAGAACTTTCCCACAGCCTCCCCGGTCCTGAGAGGGTTAGGAAGTGGAGTCAGGCTACTCCCTGCACACGGGAATCTTCCCTGGCACACACGAGGCATCTCCCGAGCAGCTCAGAAAGAGCGTGTGTTGGGATCAGTCCCCATGGCGAGCATCCCGCCGGGGCCGGGCAGCAGACGAGATAGATTTGTGCTGCTATATTTAGGATGTGTAATGCTAATGGGATTACAGCGGCGAGCGTGCTCACGCTGTAATCAGCTCGCTGCTCCAGTTGACGTGTTCCTAATCAGGCTGTTCACCTTGCACAGGGTGGGCTGACTGCAGGACACAGGTTTGGGGCTCAGTTTGGGTCAGTGAAAAGAAGCTCTTACCCCCCCCCAGCTCAGTGTGCCCCTTGGCACCCTGCACACCCCATCAGCAGGGCCTCCATGGACTGCACAGCCTGTGGCACCCACCTTCCAGCCCCCAGCCCTGGCCTCCCTGCAGCTGTCTCGTCCCCAGTCTCCTTAAGGGGATGTTCCCAGATGTCCCCACCCTGGGGACAGGCAGGTGGGCAGCATCAGGGCTTGCAAAATGTGTCCTACAGGGTGGAGGCATCCCACTCACCTCTCCTTGTTTTCAGTGGAGAGGGGGACTCAGAGAGGGGAAAGGCCACAGCTCCCTGCCCTGCCCAGAGCCAGATGGGCGCTGCCTGCTTTGGGCATCAGGAATTCAGGTCTTTCCAGCCATGTCAGGTTGTAATTGGGAAACAAGTAAGAAATTAGGCCTTTGGGAGAGAAGGGCAGTCAGGGCATTCTGAAGCAATGCTGGTCTGCATAGATAACAGAGCAGTTGGAGGAAGAGCCACCTGTGCGGATGGGCCCCTGGAGGGGGGACCCCATCTCTCCTGCCGCAGCCGCGCGGGGGCCTCCCCAGCACCAGATGTGGTCACACACTCCCCAGGTTCTCTCCCCACATCCAGCACCGCTTCCTCTCCTCCCAACCTGTGGGCAGAGGCCAGCCCCCAACCTCCCCCTGGCACCGACATCCCGCCCCGGTGCCAGCTCCAAGCAGGAGGCCCCGAGTTGCCGCAGGAAGCCCTGGCAGCCCTCGCTCTGTTTTTGCAGCTGGGTCGGTTATGAACACACCGGCTTCTGCGGGCAGCAGTTCATCCTGGAGAGGGGAGAGTACCCGCGCTGGGACGCCTGGAGCGGCAGCAACGCCTACCACATCGAGCGCCTGATGTCCTTCCGCCCCGTCTGCTCCGCCGTGAGTGTCCCGCCTCCAGCTCTTATCCCGCTAAAACGTCCCAGGCCACAGCAGTGAGATTACGAAGGGCAAATACAGCTATGCCAGGGGCAGGCTCAGCTCTTCTCTCCCCGCTCCCAGTAGGATTTTGCTCTTTCTGTCCTGTTTTTTAAAGCTTTGAAGGGAACTTCTGGGCCAGCTGTTCATGAGCAGAGCTGGGGGACAGCCAGCCTGAGACAGTAGTTGTGGCACAGCTGTCTCCGGCACCTCGCACCCCCCAAAAAAATAAAAGCCCAGCGAGGGTCCGAACATCTCCCTCTCCAGGAAACCCTCCCAGCAATGCCACAGGGAGGGACAGGACCACCCATACCGGGGAGGGAGCACTGCCTCCCCCTCACCCCCTGCTCTCCCCTCCTAGAATCACAAGGAATCCAAGATCACCATTTTCGAGAAAGACAACTTCATTGGCCGCCAGTGGGAGATCAGTGACGACTACCCCTCGCTGCAGGCCATGGGCTGGGCCAACAACGAAGTGGGCTCCATGAAGATCCAGTGCGGCGCGTAAGTGACGGGCAAAGGACGGGGAGCAGCAGGGACAATCTGCTGCCATTGCTGTGCTGCCACACCAGGGGGAGGGGACACACCCTGCAACCCCCCTGCTTACCTCTTGTCCTTTTCTTCCAGCTGGGTGTGCTACCAGTATCCTGGGTACCGTGGCTACCAGTACGTCCTGGAGGCTGACCACCACGGTGGAGATTACAAGCACTGGAGAGAGTGGGGTTCACACGCCCAGACCTCCCAGATCCAATCCATCAGGCGTGTCCAGCAGTAGCTCCCCACCTTCCATCTCTGCAAGGTTTCAAAAGCTCACCGGCTCCCTCTTGGTGCTAATACTCCCCTCCCGAAATAACCACCCCCTCTCGTACTGCCACTGCTTATGGAACAACACTCCCAGACGGTACCGACTGCCACAATTGCCAATAAATGTGACTGAAAGAAAAAGATAAACCAGCTTGGTGTGTGTTTGCTCTTGGGTGTTTGGGGCTGAGGTTGCACATCCCCACGTGAGCAGGGACCAGACTCTTCCCTGCCCGTTTTAAGCAGGGCTGAAGCCCAGTGGGACTCACACCGAGTGAGGTTCATTGCCCCACTGTCTCACACACGCAAACCCTTGCTTGCTGCAGCTCTGCAGCCACTTGGCTTCCTTCCCTCTCCTACCCGACAGGGTAAATGACATCTGGACCCCCACCCCATGGAGCCATGCTGGCACCTGGCACGCATGTACTCACAGCTCGTGGGCTCTGCAGCTGGCACTGCCAGGCCTCAGGGACCAAAACCCAAGCAGCATCCCTGGGGACAAGGGCTGCTCCCCGAAAACGCAAAAAAGAAAGTCACGCTGACACCCACAAACTTTAAAATTTTTATTCAACAATTTACATCACTTATTGTCTGTCTTAACGTATTCGATCTACACAAATTTCTTTTTTTTTTTCCTGATAAAATAATAAAATTTGGATAAATTTTGAAGACCTGTTGGTGCAGAATAAACAAAATTTCAGGTAAGTTTTTTTTTCCTTTTTTTTTTTTTTTTAAACATTTAGTGTGAAGTATGACATCATTGGTAAAGATACATCATGCCATTACAGCTCATGGACATTACCTATCCTTACAGTCCGTGACATCACCCACACCAGCGCAAGGGGCTGCGCCAGACACAGCTACAGCAGGTTTTACACTAACTCCTCTAGCCACCCTCTCACCACCAGGAAAACGCCTACGCTTTTCCAGCTGGGCACACAGAGTGCATTAACCTAATGAGAAATCACCGGGGAGGGGAGAAGGAAACAAAGACTACCTTTACCGATCCGTGTGGTCGCACACTACAACATCGACACCAAAGAGGGGCTGCCCCTCTCTGCAAGGTCAGAGGTAATTCAGCTTCTGAGCAGGTAGAGCACAACCCCTCGCAGCGATTTTAATACAAACCAGGAACAAAATGAGAACTTATCGGCGGGGAAGGGGGGGGGGCAGGAGAGGAGACGCCCCGGCGGCTCCGCCTGCAGGGATCTCTCCGGCCCCAGCTCGCAGTCGAAGCGCGCGGTTGTTTCGCACCGCCCTTAACACTGAAATATTCAGGGAAGGGGGAGAGAGGGGCATCCATCCCCCCAGTAAACAAGTCGAGGACCTTCAGAGGCTGGGAAGCCGCTGAAGGTGTGTAAGTACACGTGTGATGGTAGATAGAAAAGCAGCCCTGTTCTGTATGAAAAAAAGCTGTCAAGTTAGTACAAATTTCTGCCACGGCGAAGGGAACAGGAGGAGAAAGATGTCAGGGCCCTTCTCCCGTCACCAAATCCTGACTCTCCCGCACACAGGCTCTGGGCTAAGCAACATGTTTCCAAAGGTGGTACCTGCAACCCAACGCATGAAAACAAAACCAAAATAAAGCTCTCACCCCCAAGGCCGAAGGGAACCCACCCTTTGCTCCAGCCCTGCAGTGAGATAGTGAGGAAGGCTGTCCCTCCTGCCTCACAGTGGGAATACACAGCAGTAGGGTTCCTCTTGGTTTATTTTGTCATTAGAAGCCTCAAGTTTGCCCACGCCCCCAGCCTGCAGCGCAGTGGACTGGTCTCCACTCCCTCCCCAAAGCTGCTTTGCGTGGGGCTGAGCCCCTCTCCCCGTCCCCATGGGGACACCGGCGGGTACCACACCACGCTCTCACCAGAAACAAAAAGGGCACTGGTTCATCCAACAGTACAAAGTGTATCTGAAACACAAGCCAGCACACCCCACTCCCTCCAATTCAATTACTAAAGTAGGCTCTTTAAAATAAAAAAATAATATATATATTTATATAGCTATACAGAGATACAGAGAAAGCAAAGGAGAGAGAGAGAGAGGCTACTAAAAAAATCAAGAAGCGCCAGTTTTCTGCTACAGCTGTCAGCAAAGAACTGTCACCTTACATCATACCCTCCAAGATGGTGAAGAGAATGCAGGCAATGACAGCACAGGAATGCAAAAGAGGGCAGATAAGTCACTTCTGGTAATGAGACACAAATTAAAACTTTCAAAACATGTGCATAGCTTTATTCATCTGCTTCAAACTAACCTTTTCACGGAGCTTCAGCGAAACCCGAGTGTGCAAAATGCATTTCTAAAAAATAATGCAAGCAAGCTTTCACATTTACTGTGGCAGGAGTACAGAAAGACTCGGACAGAATCACACGCTGGGGCGGGAGATGGAGAACCCAGAATTGCACAGCTTGGAGTTGTGAGTCACCGACTGCAAACACAAGCATTTCAATTTCGCGAACTTTAGGCAAGCTGTGTTTACTTCTCCTTTACAAAAAAACTCAAAAACCCCACAGAAACAAGAGCCACAACCTGGCAGGGAATAAATGCCCTGGATAATGATGGATCCTGGTGCTGCAGAGAACCTGAACTCCAGGAAAGCTGGTTCCAGACCTTGGCTTGTTTTGGCTCTGCTGGCAAACCATGGCAATGCCGATATCTGTCCACAGGAGAAGAGTGAAGCAGCCTCTCTTTCTCTCCCTCCCACTCCCCTCCAAAGTCACAGGTGCCACCCTACAGGACATTATCCCAAAACTTCAAGACAGCCACAAACACAGGCTGGAGTCCAGGTCTCGTTTCGATCCAAAGGGTCACCGGGACACTAAGAAACCTGTCGATGGGGCGCGGCCGTCGCGCTGCCGGTGGGAGCCCGGCCCTCCCAGCCACGTCCCCCCAGCTCACACACCACCAAATCTCTTCAGAAAGACTAAGCACACATGCAAGGCACATTGAGTCAGATGTACACACACACGTGGGTGTGTAAAAGAGCAAACGCTGGCCAGAAAAATTAAAAATTGATGCTGAACAAACTACTTAAAACAGGCAGAGAGCTCTGGCCTATGTATTTATAGACTATTTTCCAGGCAGTTGTAATCCCCAAGTGTTTTTCCTACACGACTTTAGACCTTTCTTACTCTTCCCTCACTTTACTGAGAGGTCCTTTTATTTTCCTAAAGGATCTTCTATAAATAGTCAAGTAAATTCCCTTTTTTTCCCCTCCAGTAAACTCCTCCCTCAGGGTACACATCCCCTGCCGCGGTCCAGGAGTGACCCACGCAAAGAAGAGGTTCTGGACCTGCCTGTGCCCCACAGCAGTGCCTTGATGCAGCGAGACCTCCCCCCACTACTCCCTAAACCTTTCACTGACAGGTTTTGGATGGGTGGATGGCTTCACTTTGCTTTTTTTCTTGGAAAACATCCAATCCCAAGTGCTCTCCAGCAGCCGAGGGCAGCTGGAGAAGGAGTCAGGGGTGCGGAGGCCACGCAATCCTTAATACTGCTGGTTAACTTCACATTGAGATAAAGCATTCAAAAGATCTTTTCGTAGAGATGAGCAATTTCCTTCTAAAGATAAATTCAAACAGAAAACAAATATATTAAAACTGGAGGCGAGACAAGAGCTGACTGAGAGTTTTCTACCTCACAAGTTACTCAGGCACCTTTCCCACACCACCAGCCACGGAGGAAGGAGAAGCTGAAAACCTCAAGGATTTGCACTACCCTTCCAATAGCAGCTTGAGAAAAGGAAGGGGGGGGGGAAATAAAACAATAAAAAATAAAAATGCACAGTGTTCTCTCAAGTTTAAAAGAGTTCTCCTTTGCTTGCGTTTGCATAGAAATTCCCGTAGGTCAGCACCAAGATCAGGTACACCCCTGTCCTACATCCCGGCTCCCCCAGCTCCCACGCTGCCCGCAGTTAGTGGCTGTGTTACAGGAGGGTTCAACTATCCGCAGAGGAACTACATGGTCATGTTAAAATAAGAAACAAAAAAACAAACCAAAAAAACCAACCAAAAACGAAAAACAAAAGTGCATCACACATTCTTGATTTTCAGGGTTATACTTATAGCAGCAGCAGCATTAATCCAAGACAATGAACAGTTGTAGGTTCGCTCTTAAAATGCAGCAACACTCAATGAAATGTCTTCGGGGAAGGGCATAAGAGGGTCCTTCTCAAAAGGATAAAAATGAAAACTAGACTATTCAATGTGGACAAAAAGGAGATACAACAAAAATTAAAGACACAATCTTATTTACATTAAAAAAAAACCCCAAACATTCTTGTTAAAATATCTTTACAACACCTAAGCAAAAAAATATGTATTTTAAGAATAAAGCAGAAACTCCTAAAGCAGTATCCATTTTTGGAACCCTTATTTAGCACCTGAGGAAAGACCGTGTGGAAAGCAGACAGGTTGGGGGTTTTTTGTTGGGTTTTTTTTTGTTGTTTTTTTAAGAAAACGGTAAGTTGTGTTTTTGCTAAACGTTCAGAAGTTCGCAGTACACAAGTTTCATACCACAGAAAGAAATCAGCAAATTTTTTTGTCGTTGCTTTGTTTTTAAAGATACTCTACTCATTAATAAGGCTGTATAAAAGGGACACTGCTATCTTACAAAATGGCTTTAGAGCTCTGGACACGTTATATGAAGCTTTCTGATTAACAGTCAAGACAAATCCAGCTCAGCATCCCCCAGTGAGGGCACAGGCAGGACTCTTGCTCCTGTCCTGGGACAGGGAGCAGGCTCGTGCCCTGGACATGACACCACAGGGTTGTTGTAGCTCCCCAGACATCCACGGCTCTGCAATGCCGTGTTTGAGGATCTCTCAGACAGGATAGAAGCAGTCAGCCTGATCCTTGGGTGTAACATGTACTGGGCAAACCTCTAAAGCTCTGCAATCCCTGGGAGGCAGCACATCCACAGTGCACACCAAGATCTCCTTCCCACCAGCCCAGGTTCCTGCTTCCCAACTGCTTGCGCTAGGGCTTTTCCACATGGAAAAATGCTCTGGTGGTGGCCAAAGCTAGAATTACTCTGCTTTTTCGGCTACTTCACCACGTCAGCCCTTCTCCTGCCTTCCACACCGCTGTGAAAATGTGTAGCAGCTTTAAATTGAGTGAATCCTTGCTCTCTTCGCTCCTGACCTCGACCATCTCCCTTGTAAACAGCCTCTATAAGGAAAACAAATCACAACGGATGGACGGAAGAAAGATCTTCTAGGGATGAGAGGATAAGACTCCTGAAAGCTTGGGACACCATAGCAATGTACTGAAGATGCTGAATCAAGATCAAAAAACAACGCACAGGGAAACTACTGGCAGCTCTGAAACACGGCTGTGAATGCCATTGCTCCCAGATGTCCCTGAGGTCACCCACTGGCCACTTGGGAAAGGATGCGATGGTGCTACGGTAACGCTCTCTTAAAGGTGAAAGCAATAAATACATGCACATCTGGGAGGACAACTTCCATCTCTCTTTTTCTTTCTTTCTTTTTCCTAGCAGGAAGCAATTTTCCTTTCCATTTAGCTGGCTGGTTCACCCATCACGGCTCCCAGCCACCGAACAGCCGGTGGACTTGACACCTAATGAGAAATGGGGTTTCTTTCCACATTTCAAAGAAGGTCACAGCAGCTACCAAAGGCAAACAGCGGGATTTAATGGTTCTGAAAGGTCTGAAGTGGGTTAGTGGCAGAATTCGTGCCCTGAACTACCCACTGGTCAAAGAGAAAAGAGATTTCTAACAGAGGATCGTGGTGGATTTAAACCAAAACCAAACTCCCAACCTTGAAAGACAACACATTGCCAATCTACCAGACAGGTGAAGTGGGAGAGAGCAGAGGCTGAAGGCCCCAAACCACTATCACCAGGAGCACAGAGCAGTTTTTAAATTACCTCTTGGAGCAGATGAAATGCTCCCTGATCCACCAAAGAGAAAGCAGATTCCAAGCTGGATCTGGCTGGCACTTCAGCCTCTGTTACACAAGACCCTGTATAAGAAATGCCCAGAAGAACTGGCGGGCAGAGAAGGAATGGTGGGGAATGACCAGAGGAGAAAGGAGACAGCCCCTGTCCTCACAGGAATCCTCACTCCAATAAACAGACAGCTTGGCAAGGAAACCGGAGGAAAGAGACTCACAACAGGAACAGAAATGAGAGAGAATCCTTAACCTGAATTAGTATCTTCATAGCTAATAAAAAAATAGGTCATGATCTCACCCTTAGTGCCACTTTCCAATACTACACATACTTAGGGGGTTTTGTTTTAAAACTTACTTTACTCAGTGTAATGAAAACAATGGCACAAATAAATACACGCTCGCGCTCCTTACACATCAGATGCTCACACGCACCGCCGGCTCCTCGCCCCCGCAGACACCCTCGGGTGCAGACCCAGGACAGGAGGCTGCTGCTCCCCTTCCCAGGCTGTATTTGGTTTATGCTACAGTACTAATACTCTGAGTCAAACAAAAACAAAACATGAGACTTATCAGTAACACCTTATCGTTATTTCAATGTGCTAAATTAGTCACAGCTCGATTTCAGATTTTTTTTTTCTTTTTTTTTTATAAGTTTACACAAAAATAATCAGAAAACAGATTAAATCTTAAGATATTTTTAATAAGTGCTCAGTTAAGAATTGTGTGAGGACTTGGGGAGGACTGCAGACAGCGACAGGGCGAGTTACACAACAGCAAGAGGAAGTTCCTTCCACGGTCCTGCCTGGCTCTAGGCAATAGTCTATCCCAGAAATCCTGGGGAGCCGGAGCTACAGGAGCTGAGAGAGAGGAATTCCTAACTGCTTAGCACTGAGCACACACCATGGAGCTCGTGGAGACAGAAAGACAGACGTTTGAACAGAGGATGGTCAGAAATACAGCAGAGAAGGTGCTGCCGAGGGTGTTTTTGGATGGGTCCCGCTGGCGAGGGGCCACGCACAGCGAGGCAAAGCCACAGGGATGAGCATCAAGGATAAACCAACCCAACCCATCTCTTGAACCATGTTTCTCTCAGCATTTCTTTTGCTATTTAAATTAAAGACTGGACTAGGCCAAGATGAGAGTCCTCCAATATTCAGCAAGACTCAGATCTTTTTAAAGGCGCAGGGTCCTCAGCACCAGTTAGTGCTGCTCAGCTCCTGCATCCCCCGGCCCCCAGTGCAGATCTGGGATAGGGGTACAGGACAGCACAGACCCCAGGGAAGCAAAAATAGGGTGTTTTTGTAATTTTTTTCTTTTTTTTTTCTTTTTTTTTTCTTTTTTTTTTTTAATGGAACCTAGCCCTTAAGGCGACAAGTGACTACACAAGGCAAATAAATACACAGCAGAGCCTTAAAGCCAGTAAAACAAACTGGAAACTTCGCTACTAGTCTTCAACTTTTTGAAAATAATAACAAAAAGGAAAAAGAACAATTCTTCCACCTTAATTTTCCCAGTTCCCCACCATCCAGTTTGTTCAACACTTTAAAGCTCAGGAATGCCCCAGCTCTTCGGCGGCGGAGCCAGAGGCAATTCCGACTTTTGGCAAGCAGTTGGGAGACTCAACAGAATTAAAAACAGGGATGTTGGAGGACTAGATGTCGGGCACATCTGTAAACATGTTATACATCTCAAAGTTACACACACCTGTAAAGGTGGTACAGTTTATAAGTGAAACAGAACTATTTGCGACTGGCCAACCACACATTTCTGAACCTGGACTGATACAATACATGATGACTATATAGTATCACACTCAGTATTATACTATATAGTGGTTGATACATCAAATGGAGTAGGCAATCCATAGTCAAACGTTTAAAACTAAGCGTGGCAGAAAGCTAAGCGTCTTACACAAGGTACAGAACTCAGTTTCATTGTCCCACCGTGAACCCAAGTGTCGCATTCAGGAACAATCTTGTTAAAAGTATAAAAACAATTAAAAAAAACACAAGCTACATACTCCTAATTAACAAAACAAAACAAAAAAGCAGATCATAGAATCTTTGAATATGCTGAGTTGGAAGGGACCCATCAGGACCAGCGAGTCCAACTCCTGGTCCTGCACAGGACACTCCAACAATCCCACCACGCGCCTGAAAGCGTTGTCCAAATGTTTCCTGAACTCAGACAGGTTTGGTGCTGTGATCACTTCCCTGGGGAGCCTGTTCCAGTGCTCAACCACCCTCTGGGTGAAAAACCTTTTCCTGATATCCAGCCTAAACCTCCCCTGACTCAGCTTCATGCCCTCTCCTCGGGTCCTGTCACTGGTAATGAGATCAGTACTTGTCCCTCTGCTGCCTCTCGTGAGGATGTTGAAGACCACCATGAGGTTTCCCCTGTGTCCTCTGGGCTGAACAAACCAAGCCACCTCAGCTGCTCCTCATGTGGCTTCTCCTCCAGACCCCTCCCCATCCTCATGGCCTCCTTTGGACGCTAACAGCTTAATATCTTTTTTATATTTTGGTGCCTAAAACTGTCCCCAGGACTCAAGGTGAGGCCACCCCAGGTCAGAGCAGAGCAGGACAATCCCCTCCCTCACTGGGCTGGTGATGCTGGGCCTGATGCCCCCCAGGACAAGGTTAACCCTCCTGGCTGCCAGGGCACTGCTGACTCATGGCCAACTGGCCCTGGACCAGGACCCCCAGGTCCCTTTCCATGGTGCTGCTTTCCAGCATCTCATTCCCCAATTTAGACACACAGCCAGGGCTGCCCCGTCCCAGGTGCAGAACTGAGCACTTGCCCTTGCTAAACTTCAAATGTTTGGTGGACTGCCCATCTCTCTGATTTATCCAGGTCTCTCTGCAGGGCCTCTGTGCCCTCCAGAGGTGACAGCTCCTCCCACTTTAGTGTGGTCAGCAAACTTACTTAGTATCCCTTCAAGTCCTGCGTCCAGGTCCTTAACGAAGACTTTGGAGAGAGCTGGGCCAAGGATGGAGACCCGAGGACCCCACTAGTGACCAGACACAAGCCTGATGGCTTGATGGATAAATCTAAGCACAAGGGGTATGCAAAAGTTTTGGGTTTATCTGCTTCCTGTAATGCCCCACGGGGTCCAGACTAATTTTAGGAGACACCAACTGCTGCTGACCTTGATAACCAGGAGCCAGGATTTGGCCACAGACACCCACGATGAGCACTGGGTATGTGTGGAGCTGGGGCTGATCAGCAAATCCATTTCTGCTTTATTCACTCTTGCCCTGGACCCCGTGACCTTTCCATCTTTAAAAAAAAACCCAGAAAAACTACCCGACCCCCAGATGATTTGGACACTCTACACAAGCTGCAATGGGACAGAGCCGGTTACACAGCTGGAGCCTGCACTCTGCTCAGCCTTCCCTACCACTGCTAGGAAGCTTTCCTTTCCCTGGGATTATTTTTTTTTATTATTTTTTAAATTATTATTTTCATTCCTAAGTCCTCCATTTTTTTTGTAATAAAATATATTTTTATTAAGAGATAATTAGAAGCAGAGCCCGGAAATACACAGACTGCATTAAAATATAAAAGAGCATTTCCAAGGGGCAGGAAGCCCAGCCATTGGCATTCTATGGACAAATTGAAAAGGATTCAAATTCCCATTTTTCTTTTTTTTTTTTTTTTTTTAAACTTTTTTCTTTTTTTTTGTTATTTTGAAATATTTTTTTTAAGAGAAAAAAATAATTCAAGAAGGATGAAAGTTAGCAGAACTCAATTCCTCTTCAGTTTTCCATTGAAAATGGGAAAAAAATCCAGCACATTTAGTGTTAGGAGACAGACAGAGCAAATATGAAGCACCTACAGTTGAAAGCAGAAGATACGTTTTTTTTTTTTTTGTCTTTTTTTTTTTTCTTGCTCCCAGTAATACAATGGCATTAAACTGTGGGAACAGTGGGGTGGGTTTTTTTTTTTGTTGGTTTTTTTTTCCATATTAAATGCCTAAACAGATTGCTTATTTTTCCATGTTGTCTTTGAAAATGAAATAACTCTTCAGTTGCAATAGTCCAACGTGTAACAGGAGCCAGGTCAACTGTGTGACTTCACCATGCATCCTAGAACTGAAGTATTACCATCTTTCCCTCAGCAGAACGAGCTGTTTAAGACAATATCCCCCGCATAGGATTGCTGCTTTACTCCTGGCAAAACATGCGGATTATAATTCTCTGGAAAAAAAAAAGAAACTCTGCAAACTTCAAGGCGTTTCTCCAGCATTCAATGGAAAACAAACCAGGAAAAAAAAAAAAAAAAAGAAACTAAATGGGGGAGGTGAAAGGGAAAGGGGAGATGAAGGATGGTGAATCATCCTGATTTCCCTGTGATTAGTGTGTCACTACAGTCACAGAACAAGAAACAGAAACCTTGTCAAGTGGAAATGCCTCTCCAGTGGGTTGCTGTTGCCCGTGTAGACGACAGCAGGAACTTTGAAACCGGGCTTGTAATTGAGTCTGTATTCCTTAATCACTTGCATTTCACTCTTTAAACAGAAACAAAACAAAACAAAAATGAAAAAAAAAAAAAATCTATTCAGTACCGGAGATTAAATAATCACGTGTGTAGTCTCGTTGAAATAAATTTTCAGATTCCTTATGAAGTCTAATTACTTTCAGTTGCCATTTTTAAATAACTATATATATATTTGTATATATTATCCTGTGATTCTAGTTATGGTTCCTCTGCTGCACTGAAGATTTAGAAGGAGCATAAAAGCCTTTTTGTCCCCCACGAACAGCACAAATGCTGCAGAAAGGTTATAACAGGCAGTCTTGTCTTGCTACCTTCATTGATCCGGGCGATCCATGGCTTCATCATAAGTGATTATCCTTTTGGGATCTGGAAGGAAAGCAGAATTCTAAGTTTTTCACAAGCTGAAAATAAACACAAGAGATCTGCACGGTACTTGTACCTTGACAGACTTTTCCTTTGGACCCCCCCTCCTGCCAACGCACCCCAAGCCCAGGCTGGCTCCCCCAGAGCAGCACACGAGTCTCCATATACAGCTCTTCCCACACAGAACCTCTTCTCAGGTGATTTGTGGGGATACACCAGAATAAAAGTTATTACTGGATGTGACACCCAGCACCAGAAATAGAAAGCAATTTTGTATACACATAGAGAAGAGTCATTAAATCTAATTCTTGTTTTATTGCTCTTGTAGAGACTGTGCTTCTCTCTGAACACCCTACCATTGTGGCACAGCTTACTGTCCTGACACTTAGTGATCTGAAACACAGATAAATCCAGACTGCAAACTGCAGGCACTGAAGAAATGAACTCAGGCATCTCCAGGCACAGAGACAATCCAGTCTCATTCACCCCCCATCCCAACAGACAGAGCAGGACAGTGCAATTTGGATTATTTATTCTTTCCAACACCCTTACCTTGCTTCTGCAAATTCCAAACCGCTTCCATTTCTGTGAGGGCAAAAGGAGAAGACCACTGTTATTATGCAGATTGATGTTGCCATGAGAGACAACTTTAAACACACTTTAATTTCCCAAGTGTGGCACAACACGGCTGCGGTTGTGCCGAGGCTTTCAGACAGAGCCCGCCCCATCCAGCCCAGCGGCACAGCCCCAGCCCATCCCGAATTTGAAACGAATAATCCAGCAACAAAAGGCAAAAGGATGGCTTTAAGGGTCAGAGGGCCAAAGCTGAGCATCAAAAACGTCACCACTATTCTCCAGTCCTACAAATCGCAATCTGACTTCAGGCTTTACTAACCCGACTCCAGCGCTGCTTCGCATGTCACGGCCTCAACAAGGAGCCTGAAGAGATGGTTTTTTACGAGTTGATGTTTAGTGTGTGTGAAACCAGAGCCGCAGGACACGGCAAGTTTCACATGGCTCGCAGTGTGCATGTGCTGAAGCACACCAGGCAAGGACTGCTGTGCCAACATCACTGCAAAGCTGCTGCCAACACACCACCCGAGAGCAAGGTGTGATGCTCTCAGACACGCGGCTGCCTGCTTGGCTTGAGGTTCTTTCCCCAGTTTACCTCTACAATATGTTTGCAGGCTGAATATAAATTCTCCCCAGTTCCCCCTCAAAAAGCACATGCTTTTGTTTACCTCAGAAATAAATGTTCTTTTCATTCACACTGAGAAACAGAAGGTTCCTCCCTTTAAAATGTCCCACAAATCAAGTCACACCTTTGGAGATCCATTCAAAATAACCTCATTTAGCCACTATGGAGATGGAATTTAGTGAGCTAGAATATTTATGAAGACACTAACTGTACCCTGCACCCAAATTTCAGAGACAAAAATTTTTAAAACAGGAGCATTTAGTAGGAACACGATCTGCAAGAACCACCTTTCAAGTCTCCCTTTTGCCACAAAGGAGGGTGACAGGACCTTGGTGGGGGTTGGAACAGAGAATAGCAAGGAATTATCAGGCTACACGGGATGTGCAGTAAAGCACAAAACAAGGCAATAAGTGAACTATCCAGCATGGGAAAGGAAGAAGAAAAAGCCCTACAAAACTCATGGCCTCAGCACGATGTGTGCCAAGTGTCACCTCCATCAATCGAGTCCCTTTTCCAACCCTTCATCTGTCCTTTGTCCCCCTACAATCTCCAGCTCCCCAGGGCAGGAAATTGCATGCAAATAAATATTGCCAGCCCTCCCTGCACAATTAAGCCTTTTGTAAGGAAGGCCCCGGCAAAATTTTACGAGGTCTGTTATTTTTGCGTCACGATAACAACAGCAACATTTTGCACTTTCACCGGACGGGGGAAAGCCTTAAGTGCTCTGGGAATAGTAGCCAGTCTCTAACACCCCCAGAGATATAAGCAGCCTGGCGAGGGACTGCCTCCCTCATGCGCCAGATGCAGATTCCCCCGAAGTAAAATGAACCAGCTACTAAAATTACCTCCCGCAGAGCGAGTTTTCCATTCAGCGCAGTTAGATGCATCATTTCCTAACAGTTAAAGAGCATCTCCTACTTTAACAGCTTTCCCCAAAGGCTGGGGACACAAAACTACTCTCTCGTTGGTTGCTCCACGTTAGAGCAATGTTTGAGCATCAAATGCCAGGGAGCTGAAGCAGTGCCCCACTGCTGTATCCCATGTATAGACCACACTTCCTTGTGCTGTTCATTTGGTTGCAGCTTCCCTGGACACCACAAGAATGTGAACTGCTTGTATTAAGACATGTCTGACAACAACAAGACAGACAGCGAGATACTATTAAGAACATACTAAAGAGTCTTAAGTTGTCAAAATTCTGTTTAGATGAAAAAAACCTAACAAACCAACAGCTAAACTCCCCAACCTTTTCAGACTCCAATTTTCCTTCTTCGGAAAGAGAGGGTGTTGTAAAGTCTCCTGTAAATCCCAGACACCTGGACACACTGACTGGCAGATGCAGAACCTCATAAAGCTACAAAACCAAAGACCATGGGGAAACAATGCAGTAACAGCTCTTACTGAATATCATCTGCCATCAGCAGAGCACAGGGACACAGGATAGAATAGGTTGAGCACACTGACCAACTGAAACAAACAAACAAACAAAAACTTAGGCTAACTGCAACACCAAACTAAGGGTTTTCTTCATCTTAAAATGGAATTTAATGATTTATTCTGCCTTACTTGGTAATACACTACCGTGAGTTTTCCTCCCAGTTCCAGGTTGTGGTCACCACGGCTGACACAAGGTGCTGTGATAAATGCCATGGCCACTGTCACAGAGCTTGGACCGGCCTGGTGGACAGGCAGCTCAGCAGAGCCACCACTGCCTGGGTCCAGTCAAGCAGAGCAGGGAGCTCAGGGATGCAGGGTGGCATAAAAGACAGTGCCCATGAGCTGGGTATGCAAGAGACCCTAAGCCTCCTTTCAGTCCTTCTTCCTTGGGCTCAAAGAGCTCTTTTCTTAAGCCTGCCTTCCCTGGATAAAGCTTTCAGAGCAGGTTTAAGCAAAGGACTCTTGCTCACCCTGCATGGGGAAAAGGCACCATCAGCCCAAGTCCATCTCTCTCAGATACTGACCCAAAACCCATTGCTGCCCTTTCCAAAGACCTGACCAACAGACAAGAGCCACCATTCCCCAAACAGGACATGTGGCCAGGGAAACAGCACACTTCTCTCTCGGTGGACTCCAACCCCTAGCTAGATAAAATGCCACCAACAAACCCTTGCACAACCCAGCATCAAAGCCAGCCCCGCTCCAAGTCAGGGGCAGAACTAGGTCACCTCCTGCACCCCTTCCAACCTCTGGTTTTCCAGGATTTTTTACAATTAGCTGGGCTCTCCACAGCCCTCTGGCTCAGGTTTGCCGAGGAACTGCCCGGGGCAGACAGCCCCAGTCACATCCACCTAAACCACTTTTTCTGGGGACTGTCACTGAAACAAAGGGGTGGTGGAGGAAGGCTTTGATGTCAGGAACAGACTAAGGCACACTCCAGTGAATTGTGCTGGGATTCCTCATAGGTCAATAAACTTTATAGCAGGACTGGTACATAATCTTGGAGGGGAAAAGAAGTGTTTCTGTGATAACTTGTTAAGACAGGCACTTTTACACACTTTGCCCTTGCTAGAGAGGCAGCCCCTGCAAACAGAAGTGCTTGCACAATGCCACGGAACTAGTTCTTTGTTCTTATAAATCTTACTATTCCTAAAATAAAACACTAAAAAATAACAAAAAGGGACGATTCTCATCTGATTTTTCTGCTTCTACCTGCAGGACAAAATGATTAAGTTAGGGGATTGCCCAGGAAATGAAGCAAAGACTAAAAATTCCATGCTGTGGAGACTCATGGTTGTACGGAATACACTGTACTCATCCTGACAACTGGAAAGAGCAGACTCAAAGGAGAATTAAATCAGCTTTTGCCCCACAGCTCAGGCCCCACAAGGCCATAAGCAACAGAGCGAGGCCTAACCCCTTCCCACCACTGGGGATGGGAAATCAAGGCTCCTTTTTTTTTTCTTCTCCCCCCTCTCCTGATGTAAAGGATGAAAATTGCTGAATTCACAGCTCTGCTATTTCTTCTGACCCAGTTCACCATTCCGGTGAATGCCACTCCTGGCTGGCCCACGCTGCCTTGCTCTATTTTCCATGCTGCTCTTCTGCTTCTTCACGCGAGCAGAGATGCTGAGAAGGAACAAAGCAGCAGCACAGGCAGAAACTCGGGGGCAAGTCAGAAGAGGGAAACACTGCAGCTTCCTCTCCTCCACCCATGTGGTCTTTGCTGCTGTGCAGCTGAGCTGGAGGCCTCAATTATTTGCTTTTTAGCTCAGGACAAGCAAATTATTGAGCTTCCCACCACAAAGCTTGCCATCTAGAGCCCAGTGTCAGTGAGAGCCCAGAAGACTGCAACTGCCCAAACGTGACAGAATTCTGCACAGCGTTGACAATTATTCCGATACAAAGTGTTTCTTCCAGCTGTCTCTAAGAGAAGGAATAAAATAGTAAGGAGGTGCTGGTTTCACCAAAAGTAAAGCTGAGATACAAGAAGCCTCCTCTTCAGAAGGACCAAAAGAATATGCAAGGAACAGTTCTACCTCAAAAAGATAAGGATTTTGGCAATGCCACACCAAGGCAGAAGTTCAACTGTACCTTAGATGGTGACAACGAGATGCAAGCGAGAGCATCGCTTCTTCCTGGTCGTCCTAGTCTGCCATACTAAGCTGCTGTCCCTGTCTCCAAGCACATCCACAGCAGATCCACAAGTGCTCAGCTAAATCAGATCTCCCTTGGTAAATCAGATCTGTCACCTGCGAGTGTTTCAAGGCACCGTCACAAACACCGGGCGGCACGGGCTGTCAGTGAAGGCAGCCACATTGAGGGATCGTGTTTTACACTCAAGCAGATCAGATGATCAAGGGAGTCTTTCTGCCCTTTAAACAGAGGGAAAAAAAAAAAAAAAAAAAGAAAGAAGCAGGGGCACAAGGAAACCAACAGAAAAAGCTTCCAAGAGAAGAAGAAGAGGGTGCACCATCAGCCTTGCCCAAACATTCCCAGTGCTTTGACTTCTGGGGAAAAAGCAATCCAGACACATGCAAAGGAGCAGGGGAATCTTCCACTAAGACCTCACCGTGCTCTGCAACCACCAAGTCTCACACCCCAGCAGAGCCTCACCAGCACCCAGGGTGCTGTGGTGGGGTAAATGGGATCCCTGCACCAGAACCAGTCCTCCCTGTGTGTTACCTCCTCCATCTATCTTTCCACAGGGGAGCTGTGAAGCAATTACAATCCATAATGTCCCGTGCAGTCACTGGGCAAACCACATGCAGGAAAGCCTGGTTTGCTGGAACAAAGCTACCGAGTAAGCTGGAGGCTTTCCCGTAGCCTATTTACAGTCCAGGATGAGGATCCACACAACCTGGTCACAGTTACAGGCACAAACAGTGCAGAAAAGGGTGCACACTTGTGACAGACAGGCCAAAGCACTGCTACCACTCACACTACAGCCCATTCCTCACTGCAGCACCCAGAGCTCCATCCTTGCACTAAACTACTGCACTTGGAGGAGCTCAGGGCAGGAAGACACCAGGACCCCACCAGTGCTCCACACTCACTCCTGTCCTTGCCCCATGATCGTTTTACTTTGTGTTCATAACCCAGGGGGAGGGCAGACGTGAAGATCAAACTATCGAGACTTTGCTCAAAAGCAAACAGATCAATCCAAGAGGGAGAAGTTCAACCTCCTCTCGAAATCAAAACCAAACAGTGTGAGGACCCAACTGCCCAGGATGCCCTGACACCGACCCAGGCAAACCCACACTCTCTCCTGAGCAGGGAGGAGGGGAAGGCAGCTTGCAAAAAGCAACTGAGTGAAATCGTTCCTTTCCTACTGCAGGGGAACTGGTTGGCTCGGAGTAGGACCTCAGGAAAACAGTCCAAGATAAAGGGAGCAAACAGTGTGGGAATTAACCACCACACTGCTGTCCTGCACACACACCCTGGCAGCTCTGGCTTGGAGGCATTTCCCAGCACACTGTGGGCTCTAGTTGCAGGACCACGGCCATGAAGAGGGGACAGGAGGCACCATTCCTCCAAATACTCCTTAACCCAACTCACCCCAAAACTGAATGAAATGCAATACCCAACATAATCGCAGAAGTACTAAGAACCTGGACCGATCTCCTGCTTCGTGAACCAGCAATCATTTGGGGACTCAATAGGAGAAAGACAAGCCTAAGCTCTTTGGAGCACCCCATCACCGCATAAACGACAACACTGGGTAGAAACATTCATCATCTTTTACCCCTAAGTAACACCTCGAAGATGGCACAGATACAGTGCGAAAAAGAAGTCAGCAGAGAGGGTGTTTGTTCTGGATGCTCAAAGCAAGATGCTTCAAGAGCAACAGCTCTGGGAAGCTCTTCTTCCCATGCAGAACAAGAGCAGAGAACAGTATTTTAACGGGTGCTTCAGGTGGTCATTCTTGCCATTAAATGTAATTAACTCCCGTGTTTAGAAGAGCTAAATGCAGCCAGGCTTTGAAGTCAACACCTCCTTGAGAGGACATGGGAAGGGAGTGTTCTTTATTTTCCTGTTGTTTCTATTGTTTTACTGGGATCTGTCTTCCACAGCAAGCAAGAAAGGGAGAGCTGATCAGCCTTGCTGGCTGAACAGTTCCTTTTCTACGAGTTCAGGCTGACAAAAACAAAGAGACAAACCAAAGGGAGGGAATATTTGCAAACTTAAAATCACATAGGATTTCTCTCCATGCTATGCTTTCTGGTACCCCCGTTTTCTGATAGGAAACCGGGATTTAGGCTGCAGACAGACAAGAATGAAAACAGAAAGCCTGCTTTAATGCTGGCATAGACTGAGCTAAAAGGAGAGGATCCAGACAAAATCAATTGATGAATGCTGTTCTCAAGAATACTAGAGCTTGAAATCTTAACATCATAAGAGGGAGATGATCTGGAAAAAAATATTTGGAGTTATGATTTTTAAATGACTGGGCTTGTTATTACTACAGGTAGGCATCTGAGTTTGCAAACTGGTAATTTAAGAACTTTGCAGTGGGTCAAAACAGCAAAATACCAACCCTCTGCAGAGGGGAGGAAGGCATTATCCACATATGTATGTGGAACAGTAAGAACAGTAAACAACAAAAACAGATTGTCACCTTATTCCCTTCAGAGGATGCAGGGAGAGGGAAGGGGGATCGAATAAAAAAGGAACTGCCCCTGTGTTGGTCAGGGGTGGGTAAGTAACACTGTTCCAAAAGGGAACACACAACCAGGCTCCTGTTAACACCGAGCCAGCACCAGAAGCCAAGAACTGCCACAAGACCTCAGAGCTTCTGGGGCTGAGGCTAAAGCAGAAAGCAAGCCACCCCCCAGGCTTCCCTCTCTTCGTTCCCATTTTAAAGTGTCTGTATCATGTTTGAGTCATTTCAATATCTCAAAAAAAAAACAGGGAAAAAAAGGAGCTGGACTACAAAGGACTCCATGAAAGCAATAAAATCACCTGAAAGATGTGGCCTACAAAGACAAGGAGAGAATTCAATCTGCAGCTTACAGAGGAGCTGATAAGAAAAGACTGGTCTTGCTGTTGCCGTAATATTCAAGAAGGGCAGGGGAAAAGTGTGTGTGGGTCAGGTTCAGAAAAATAAATCACACCTAAGGCTGTAGGAATAATTTTTTCTTCCTTCAAAGCCATGATTTCATGGTCTGATCTGCCCAGGGGAGAAGCTGCAACACTTTGGTGGTAGAGGTGTGAGCACAGACTATGAAGCTTTTTCAGTGACAGAATATCACCTGGTAAAGCTGGAACAGAGAGGGTGAACCTACACATTTAACTCCTTCCAATGCTGAGAGGCTTAGAAGGGCCTGCTCAGTACCATCCCTATCAACATCACTCATGCTTGCCCACAGGAACAGGGAAACAAATACCCCTTAACATTAATTAAACAACGGTTTGAGTAGCTTCCCAAACCGTTATGGCCACGAGAGAGATGCAAGCAAAAAAAAAAAAAAAGGCTCATTTTTAAAACAATCAGAATTGCTGGAAGGAATATATCATGTTAGAATATTGCACTTATAAAGACAGAGTACAAAAAAAAAAAAAAAGAAAAGAATGCCCTTAGGGAGTAAGTTAAGCCATTACCTTTAGTGTGATATAGAATAGCAGCCCTCAGGTCAAAAGAACCCCAGCTATCTTTCCTTTCTAGGCCTCTCTGGTACCTCTGTTCTTTGGCGGAGGATAGCAAATTGTTCGTAGGAGAGGCCAGAGGATTCTCTACTTCATAGTCTTTTGAAAGAAACACTAAAGCACCTTGGCTACCGGTGTCTGCCTTTTGTAGGTCACCTGTGTGATGCGACTCCAAAGCTAAGACACCACCCTCAACAGCAGTCCCAGGCTTAAGAATAGCACTAAGAATTTGAGGGCTAGTCCGTTTATCCAGCTCATAAGCCTTAGGAAACACAGGTTGTTCAGTTCCTGAGGGAGTGATTTCAGCACACTGTGAAACCAAAGTGGCAGGATATTCCCCTTGAAATGTCACTTCCATTAACTGATTATCCGCAGACTTGCCCACAACAGTTTCGGGTCCAGCGCTGGGCTCGTTTATGAAAGACAAGCCCCACTGATTCTGGAAGATATCTCCCAGGTTCTGCTGATTCGCCTGCGAGGGGAAATCGACCTGCGCCGCACCCAGGAGCACAGTTTGCATATTTGAAGGGTAGATAAAAAGGCCAGATTTCTTTTGTTCTAGAGCTGTAGAAGTTGTACTCATGTCCTGGGCTACTGACTCGGAGGAGGTCGATGGTACAGTACTAGCAGCAGTTGAGAGCAGTGGCTGGGTCCCTGGGGAATACACACTTCCATCGGTCCCCGCGAGGATCGGCCCGTTCGAGAAGCTGGCAGAGGTGACAGATTTCATAGCAGACATGGGCACCTGGGACAGTCGACTTGATGTCTGGGCCTGAGTTTCCCCGGCAGATGACGAAGATGACGAAGACGACGAAGTGGATGGGGCTTGAGCTGCTTTGTTGAGGTTTTCTTTGACTTTACTTGCATAACTGATTTTGGGAACAATTTTAGCACTGCTATTGTCCACTGGAAAAACTGGGGGCGGTTTAAATAAGGTCCATGAGTCCTCTTTAGACGTAGCCGACGATGCGTGCTTCCCTTTGGGCCGGTCATCAAACTTCTTGCTGCTAATCCCAGGTTTGGCATCAGAGTTTTTCCGGGGTACATCCCCGAGCCCAGGTTTTCCCCGGCCTGCTCCACCAGCCCCAGCCTCGTATTTCCAAACGGGCTTAGTATTTTCAATTCGGTTCCCCTTTTGTTCACTATAATCAGGCTTGAAGCTCTCAAGTTCCTGTTTCAAGGTTGGTGCACTGACCTCCTGCTGCATTATTTTGTCCTGTACTAGATTCAAGTTCTCACAACCCTTGGCACTGTTGCGCCTGCCTTTCCGTTTTTTAGGCGTAGTATATCCACTCTCGGAGCCGCTGCCATCGTTATCGGCCCCTTTGCCTACGTAGCCATTGGTGATGTAGCTGGAATTATTGGTTACCACGCCGTTTGGAATAGACACTCCCTCTGGCTTGTCCGAGGACTGGCCTTCTCTAAGTTTATTTTCGTAGGACTTCTCATTCTTTTTGTCCATGCTATTTTTCTGAATGAAGTTCTTGGTTTTGATTCCAGCTTTCCCCAAAGCACCGGCCTTCACGGTCTGCTTTGGGGGGGCATTAGAATCTACGAGCTGCTGGCTGCCATTGGGTACCCTGGATCCTGGGGCGGTGGCTTCATCAGAGCACAGGCCCTTCAGTGACACTTCTCTTTCTCCTGCGTTACCATTTAGCTCTCCGTAGCCTAGAAAAAAGCAAAAAAAACCCACAAAAGGCAAGAGTTAGAATGTGAAACGTTAAACTCTCCGTTGCAGAAAGCTGTAATCAGCCCCAAACATATCCAGTTTCCTCAAGCAGACATTTTAAAATAGGAAAATGTCTAGTCTCTGATGTACATCAGCATGAACTTATTTGATGGAACCCATGACAAGAAGGGTTAAGCAGAAAGTACCAGCAGTGATTGACTCTCACATAACTGGGTGACATACAGACAACATAACAAAGCAAAAGAAAATACAGATACTATTTCAGGAAAATATACTGTACTAAAGATGTCTGGTAGCCTGGAGAGCTATTTCATCAGCTACTATTTCCAGGTCACAGAAGGGAAAAAAATTAATTCCCAGGATGCTTCAAAACAGAGGGATCCACTGACAAGATCTGTGGAGGTTCAGAATCCACACTGTGAACAAGGGACAACTCCTGCCATCTCCATCAGCTCTCGGGCCTGCAACACCAGCAGCCCTCATTCCCACCCTCATCCCAAATGCCACCTCAGTAAAGGGGAAGGGGAGAGAAAAATAAAAAAGCAGGATTTCAAAAGGGACATGTGCAAGTCCACTTGAAAGGTGGAGGGAGAGTGTGACTGCTTCTTCTCTCTGCATTTCAAGATAGCAACCAACACCTCCCTACACGTGCTCTTCAGCATTGAAAAGGTGATAAAACTGGGAGGAAATGCATCCCTGAGAGAGTCCTTCTGCTGCTACCAGCAACTGGTCTCTTGTCCACTGAAAAACTGGTATTTCAGAGTCCCTGGGAGAGATGGTATGAGCTTGAGACCCAAGAAATAACGTATTTGCTGAGGGCTCCAACTGATCATACCACGAGATTATACTGTACACTCCGCTTTCCTCTTTCCTCCTGAAATTCAGTTTTAGGCCTTATGGTTGCGAAATGAATCTTTGGAAGTGCAATTCAAGAGAAGCTGAAAGCTCAGGACAGTCCACACTGAACCACCTCACCTTCCTCTTTGTTTGTTTCCTTTTTAAAAATCCCTGGCCAGAGGCCCATTGCTTTCGAGGACCCTGTCTACAACGCCCCAGGAGAATCCCTGGAGCCCCATTGGGAGACAGGGAGAACACACTGTGCCCAGCTCAACAAATCCAGTCCAGCTGTGGACTGAGCAGAGGGATCCCTCCTACTGCACCCGCTCCTCCTCTGACTCATCCGTCCTCCTTCCCGAGGCTGGAAAGCCTTCCATCTCCTGCAACCACTGACCCACCTAAGGCTCCATCTGCATCCAGTGGCACAGAGTCAGCACAGCGAGGGAGTCCCTCAACAACAGGAGCAGGCAAGACTCCAGCTTGAAAAAGAATGTTTTTGTTGTTGCTGATGTTGTTGAAATTAACTGCTATAACTGAAAATCATTGTTACCCTCACATCCTGGAGCCTCAGATGTCTGGCAGATGTAACTGCTCAAGCTCTCTGCGAGTCTGGAACACAAGAATCCTTGTAGGAATCTTTACAAAAATTCCACAACTAAGTTTGCCGAGGGGGATCAAAAAGGATTTTACTACATGCAAGTATCTGTAAGCACCACAACTTCCACTATAACTTTCTAATATGCTGTTAAAAGAAATTAACCATAAGTAGTACATCCCAGAGAGAACTGGTAGGGTGGGATTCTCAGCTGAGCCAACAACTAAAAATCAAGCATTTCAGAATAATGTGGAGAGGAAGCCTTCTCAAGAGCAGCATGTTACAGCTGACCTTGTATGACTCAAGACTTCTGACACCACTTGTTAATGAAACAAAACAATAAGAGTGGTCATAAGACCATTGCAGATGAGGAGCGAAAGAATAAAATGAAGAACAAAATCCATTTCAGTAAGTCAGTGTGTCAGCAGTTTCTAGTTCCAATTCTCAAGTATTCACAGCTCAGCTGCCTGAGTTTTCTCCAAATCAACATTTGGCACAGCTGGCCCTTGCCTGGACACTGAGGTGCAGCAACCAAAATTTAGGGAAGAGGGAAAGAAAAAACAAACAGGATAGTAAGATGAACAGGTGAAGAGGATTTAGCAACCTCACAAACCATTTCGGAGCCGGGAAGGGAGGGGTGCCAGCCTAAGCGCATATTAAAACCCTGGGCACGCTGCAAACAGCGAAATGACTACTCAACTTATTTTTGCTCAGTAACTTATTTTAGCGTGTGCCGGATCAGGTCCCTCCCTGTCTGCCCGGGCAGCACACGGGGCACTGCCGACCCCGCTCCGCTGCTGCCAGGCCCCCTCCCACCTCCCGCCTCGTTATGTAAAAGGGAATTTCAAGGAAAAAAAAAAAATAAATGCACGCGGTGTTCCTGCCGGGCTGGTGACCACGCACTGGCTCTGACCCCGCACAAGCCCCCCAAAATGGGGAGCCGGGGAGCCCCTCAGGAGCGCTGCGGGGGCTCCGGCCCTGCCCGGGAGCGGCCCCCCCCCGCCCCGCTACCGCCTCTGCGCCGCTGCCGCCCGGCCCGCGGGCTCGGCCCGGCCCGGGCACCGCAGCCCCGGCCCCGGCGCGGAGAAGGCGGCTGAGGGCCCCGGGCCGGGCCGGGCCGGGCCTCACCGCCTCCCGCCGCCGCCGGCGGGGCCGGGCCGCTCTGCCCGATGTGACTCATTGATCTTGGCGCTCATCAATCGCCCACCCGCCCCCCGCGGCCCCGGCCCCGGCTCGGCGGGGGCAGCGGCCCGGCCCCACGTGCCGGCGGGCGGCGGTGCCGGCGGGCCCGCGGCTCCCGCAGCCCCAACATGGCGGACAGGAAGCGGCCCCAGCGCGGCGGAGAAGCTTCGAGCCGGGCCGGGGGAGGCGGCGGCGGCGGCGGAGGAGGGGAAGGGGGGGCCCCGCCGCCGCCCCGCGAAGGTCACAGGCCCCGTCCCGCTGCCCGCCCCGACCTGGTCTCCGCTTCGGCGCCTCCGTGTGCTGTGGGCCGCCGTGCTTGTGCTCGTGGCGGAGCGGCGGCTTGGGCTGGGCTCGGCCGTCGGGCGGCGGCAGGTAGGCGCTCTGCGGGTGGTGGTGGTGGTGGCCGTAGTAGTAGTAGTGGTGGTGGTGATGGTGGTGGTGGGGCTGCTCCTCCATGGGGGGCGGCTGGCGGGGCCGGGCCGGGCTGGGCGCTCGCTGCTGGGCCGTGCGGCTCCGGCGCGGGGACGCGGCTGGCGCGGGGGAGGCGGTGGACTGGCAGCGCCCGCCCTGCAATCAGCGAGCGGCGCCGCCGCGCCCGCCCCCCGCCCCGCCCCGCCGCGCCGCGGCCGGGGGAGAGCCGGCCCGGCCAGCGCGGACCCGCCCGGCCCGGCCACCCCCCGCCCGGGGCCGCGGCAGGTGAGGCTGTCAGGGATGGGGTTGCTTCGAGGCGGCCGCGCTTCGCCCCCTCCCTGTGCGAGCGCGGCCAGGCCAAGCCGGAGCGAGGGGCCGCGGCGGAGCTGCCTCTGTCCCTCGCCGCTGGGCCACCCCCGCGCCCCCCGGTGTTCCGTGAGCGCCGTGCGGCCCCGGGGGGGTTTCACTGCGGGGTCACCGGGAGGAGGACGGCCCGGGATGCAGCACAGCCGCGTTTTACCTACGCCGCGTCAGGCGGGGGAGGTTGGAACAGCCCCAGCCAGGGCCACGCGGAGGGGATCTGGGCAGGGATGTGAACACGGTGAGCTGCCGGGCTCCCGGCCGCGGAGAGCCGGAGCGGCAGCAGCAGCAGCGCCCCGGAACGCCGCCGGGCTGAGCTGCAGCGCTCCCGCAGCAGCCGAGCCCGCCCGGCTCCAGGGCTCCACCCGTAGCCGCCCGGGCGGACCCGCCGCTCCCCCGGCGTGCTGAGCACCCACCCGGCGAGGGAAAGGTGGGCTCCAACAGATGCTCCTGCCCGCCTCCGAGAAGCACCGGAGGTTTTAGTGATGCTTAGGAAAAAAAACACAGGTTGCTGGGGAAGCCCGACAATGGAAGGGGATCTCATTTGCACCAGATTTTATACCATTTCAAATCTCTGATTATCCCCGCTAAATGACCTGAATTATCCAGCTAAATGACCTGAACTTCTGCCCCTGCTCTGACCAGGCTCCACTGTAGGAGGGAAAGGCCAGCAAGACTTTCCCCTTCTACTGCTGCTCCAGCTTCCCTGCTCAACACCAAGGCCCAGTTCTGCACAGACAGCATGGTTTCAAAACAAACAGTTTCAAAACAAACATGGTTTGAATGCAGAGCAGCGAGGAACTGAGGCAGGAGTTAATTAGGAACACAGGAAAAGGCAGAGAGGATGGGGAGACCCGAGATTGACACAGGCTGGAGTTGGAGGCAGAATGTTGCTCCAAGTTATTCGCTGGTCTGGTGTGATTAATTACCTCCAAATACTCATGACAGTGTGCACTGCAGCAAACAGGGAGGAAAAGTGACAAAATCTGATCATGTAATTAAAGACTGTTATCATTAACGTACACAAAAAGATGCACAGATAATTTTCAAAATAGTATTGACTCGCTTGTCAGGGTTGTCCTTGCACCTTAATGCTCCACTGTATTTTTCAGTATTTTAATAAAATTAATAAAATTCCTGTGTCTAGAAAGCCCTGTCAGACTTTGGCACTGTACAAAGGACAGAGCCCTTGCCCAGAGATTTTACAGTTCCCAAGTTTTATTTCAACAGAACACAGTTGAAAGTTTATGCCTCGAACATAGCATCCCACTCCACCCTCCTCTTTACTACATGGGAGGTAAAGCTTTTCCTACCAGAAATACCAACTTCTACGTTAATACAAAGTGGTTTTTTTCAAGACTCGAGGTGCCTGAAATATCACAAGTTCTGTGCCAAACCATTCCTGCAGTTTGCATTTCTTTCGGCACAATGCAAAGCAATTTAAAACTCGATGGAACCATTTAAGCAAGCAGCCGTGAACTTTGGGCTTTACCCATGGTCTCAGGAATAACGGTCCTTTCAAATGCTGACTCATCGAGTGACCTCAGTTCTTAGGAGACAAGTCTTAAAATGAGGAGTCAGGCTTTAATCACAGTTGACATTTTATTGGTGGCTTGGAAGAATTTATTTTTAATATAAGGAACTGGCTTGAAGATTTAAACTTCAAAAGACTCTGAGGAAAGCAAATAATTATGGACTAGTTGGCTCTGCAGACACACGGGCCAGAAATCTGAATAGAGAGGGAGGTGGGTCGTCTCTTTGTGAAAGACAAACTATTTCAAACTCTTTCACTGCTTAGAAGTGTCATGTTGTCAGTACTGCATTATCTAAAGCTTGCAAAAGCAGATTAAAAAAAATCTAAAATAATACAGCTTGGGGCCCTCCACCTTCAGAAGCACACCTGGCACACAAAGCACAGGTGTCCCTCACCTTCCCCACTTCCCACCAACTCCACACGGCATCCCCAGCAACGGATGAGCAGTTCCAGTATGAGCAGTTCCAGCAGGCACTGCTGCCCTGTGGCCTGGCGTCTCCTCCCTGCCACGCTGGGACATGTCCCCTCCAGAGGCTGTACTTTGTGTTAATCCCAGCATTAGCCCAGCGTTGCACTGGTTGCACTGCGTGTTAATATTCAGCAGTCGTCCAGGCTGTGTTCTCTGGAAAAGGGAAACCAGAGGTTTCCGTGTCTTCCCAGCTGCAGCAGTTTTCCTTCTTACTGCTCTTTGGCAAGCCAGCAAAGGAAAGAGGCAATTTTCCTTGGAATTCCACACCCAGTGCCAAGTATTCCCACATCCAGGCACAAAGCTGGGCACAGCCAGTATAATTTCTAACTCAGTAATTTATTTAAAGCTCTATTTTACGAAGCTTTGAAGTGGATGGCCTTGGAGAGAACCTGCCATTTAAAGCTGCAAAATTAAGGCAGCAAGGAATGAAACAACTTCTATAGGAATCATGAGAAAGTTTTCCTGGAGAGTCTGACCTGGGATGAGTTTTGTGTTCATATTAAAATGCAGTTAAACTGAGAAGCTATTGAAGTGATTTTTTAAGAACAAATAATTTCTTTCAAAGACAATTCTCTTTAAGATGCTGCATTTAATTTCCATTAAGTGTTTTCAGGTAAGTGAAAACTGAGACGATAAAACTAATCCAGGAAAAGAAAAATGCTGTCTTTGTAATAGACAAAGTCTTGTGTCTATCCCCTGTTTAAAACTCAAAATTGGGAAACATCAAAATGATCATATTTATAGATATTGGGAAGGGCTCTTATACAAAGTATGTGTGGCATTTATTTACATTCTTTTTGCCACAGTGTTTTCATTTATAGGAAGGGTTCAGACTTGCGAAATTCTCCATATTCCAACACATCCAACCTAACAAAGCACTCAAGCAGACCTTTAGTTCCAAGTAGGATTATAACCATACTGTTCAAAACCTTGCCACGTTTGGCCCCTGAAATCTGATGTATTCCAGTATAATTGCAGTCGTGATTTACCAGTGAGTATTCAAGTGTTGGAAATCTCAGATCTCAGCAGCAGTTTAGTCAAGATGGATGACAGGGTGAGAGTGCTCCTTGCAGCCTCCTGCCTGACCACAGCCATTCTCACGGAGCTGTCGCAACCACGGTCAGGTGAGGAGGAGCCTCTCCTTGGCTCCATTTTTGTACTCTGCCGTGTACATTATTTATAGGTACAAAGCTGGTCTCTTTAAAGGCTTCTCTCTCTAGAGGCAGCCTGATAGTAGACATTGGGTTAGAGGTCTTAAAAAGCAGAAAAGTCAGAAAAATTAAAAAGGATTTATCCCCTGAGTTGTAGGAACGGATACCATGGACACCCGTCTTTCCCATCCGTAACAATTTAGGCATTTGCAACTGAGCACACGCTGAATTATGATTTTTTTTTTTCTAAAAACTTAGTTTCCAAATGCCATAAGCACACTATGTTAATCCTTCATTCACTCTCCAGAAAATTAAGGCAGTCCAGCACCAAAAATAACTGTAGGGCATAGTTTTGTGAGGCAGCAAAACTGACGTAACGGCTGCTCCCAAAAGGGAAGGTCATCTCTCCCCCTCTGCCCTGCCCTCACAGCAGCACTGCTGCTCCTCGGAGCCCATTTGAGAAATTAACTAAAAGACAATTCTTCAGATGAAAAAGTGCACATTTTTATTCTGGTTAGGCTTCCTGAACTGTTTCACAGAAGAGCCAGACAAATATTAACACCCTTAAGAATGGGCTGTCAGTACAGCAGCTCAGGAATTGCCTTCCACAGTCAGCCTGGCTGCAAGGATGACCTTCTGGGAATCGGGCAGTGGGGCACAGCTGGGGTTGCAGCCACTTAAGCCATCTAATTTTATTTTGCTCATATTTTCATATTTGTGAGTCAATCCCCTCGAGTGCCCGAAGAGGGATGGCGTGACCATCCTTCAAAGGGTTTTGAGCAAGCTGTAATGGAATGGCTATAACCAGTGGGACTTCTGGTGGGTACATCCATTGTTTAACAGCACTGGATCTGAGGATCATCCCTGTTGTAAAGACGTTGAAGTGTTCACACAGGCATGAGTAACATCTGCTGCCCATATCTGCATGAAAAATTGTTTACTAGAGTGCAATTGTATAAACTGGAGGCAGCTTCTTGGACACATACAAGAAGCAGGACGGGAGGCAGGCTAGTGGGATGGCCTCAGCCAAATCTCCCCTCATTACTTCTCTGGGATTGCAAAGAATCCTGGCTCTGGGCTTTCAGACAGTTCTGGATCTCCTCCTGTTCCCTAGGACCATCATAAGAACACAGAAATCCTCACAAACACCTTCCAAAGTGCTCTTGCACAAACCACCCTGCTGTTAGGACCTGAGGCGCAGGCAGTCCAGCCTGACTTACGCGGGGGATTGTATCGGTCACTGCTTGCAGTGGACTTTGACCTCTGGAAGACAAATGAGAAAAAGCTCAATCCACAAATCCCAAGCACTTTTTATCTTGTTATACAACACAACAGTCACAAGGCCACTGGTCACATTTCATTCTCATTCCATACCAAGCAGTTATTCTGAAACAGGGATTTTTTTTTAATTATTAGTTTTTAAATGTGTGTTGGGTATGTCTGCATCTGGCACACGGGGGCTCCACTGCTTGTTTGCACTCAGGGTCTCCAACCTAACAATACTCAGCACTGACAACCAAAATCTGGAGGGGTTATTATTTGAGTTATTACTGCGACTGCTGTTTCATTGTGAGACACAGGGCAATGATGGTTGACTCTAAGATTAGGGATTCAGAAGAGCCCTTGTCTGAAGGAAATTTAAAAAGATTGTGACCATTCACCTCTAAGGGAGTGAATCAGAAAGTCCACAGTGAAGGTATTACAGAATTCATAGCCTAGAGATAGCAGTTGGGAGAACTTTTGTTCACCTTATCTCAAAACACAGGAACACAAGAACACAAAAGGGGAAAAAAAAGGTAAATGAAAAGATAAGCAACCACCTTTAAATGCTTTGCATAAAATATATATATGGGATCCACTGATAGGCCACATTGTGAAGAGCAAAGTATTATTAGTTTTCTCAATGAATGAGCACAATTCAGCTAAAAGTAAATATTTGACAACTAAAATAGAGATTTTGGAAGGATTACTATTCTTTGGAGCACAAGTGAACCTCTGCCTCTTGGGATTTAAAAGGCTATTTCTGCCAGGTATCCAGCACCTGGGGAGCTCAAATAGAAGCAGGGGGAAGAAGTTACCTCTCTAAAATCATCTCCTCCGAAGAGCTCATGTGCTGAATACAAACAATACAGCTGATGGCTTTAGTTAGGGAGGAAAACATGAGGCACCAGAGACCAGAACTGACTGGCAAGGCAAACAATGGGCACTGTGCTGCAGATGCCTCCTAACACCTACATTCCACAGAGGAGTTCCTGCACCCTCAACTTACTGTATCTGTGCTCCAATTTACATAATTCAGGTATTTTTGTTACTAAGTGACGACAGTGCAGAAGTCGAAGGCTAATCCTCCCCGTGTCTTTAGCCCTACTTCCTTATCTTGGAATCTGGTCCGCAGTGCCACTCTCGTTCTCCCACACAGTTTCTGTACTTCACTGCTTACCTACTCATGAGGACTGAATTCCAGGACAAAGGCTATTGTTCGCAGCAAAGGGTTTGTGGAACAGCTATTCTGGCATAGCTCCCCAGGTGGAGATACAGTTCATATAGGCAAAAGAACTCACTAAGCCATCTCCTTAAAAGGCAAACTACACCATCGGAATAAGTCATCTCCACATCTTTGCTTTTTGCATGCCATCATTGCTGCAGGGTTAAGTCTGGGATTTTTACATTCCAACCTGCATAACTATTCTGGCAAGAGTACTAGTTCCTTGACCAGGAAAGACAAGATGCAGCAGGAAACAAAACAAAACAAGAACAAAAAACCCAACAACACAAACAAACAAATCAACCAAACCCACCAATAAAAAAAGATCTTGCCTTATTTTCTTAATTGCTTCTTTTATCTAGATATTGAAATGAAGCAATGAGCCATGAGCCCTGGCTCTGCTAACAACAGGAAGGGGAACTGTGTCCAAAAGTCACCCCTGGGGTGGAGAACAGCAGCTGAACAGCAGTGCAACCCTTACAAAAGAATTTATTTACTACATGTATGAAACAAAACCATGATGTCCTAATGATGCTATGGCAAAACACAAGTACAATCTAAAGACATAACATAAACAACTCATCTAGAATTGAACCAGAATTCTAGATATAAGACCCCCACTCTACAGGAAAGTAGCCTTGGAATTCATTCACCAAGTCTAATTAAGAATATTCATTCTTCATTATCATCTTTGCACTGCAACAGACCTCATGTCAGCCCCAGGAAAGGATATGAGTCAATCCCTGACTAAATGTCTCTGATTCACTAAGGAACCAACATATATAAAATCACTTAAGATAAAAAAATGCTAAGGTTTGCCTCTCTGATAATTTATCTAATGGCTGCTAAGACTGGAGTAATAGGAGAAAGATGAGAGAGAACGGCACTACATCGCTATGGAAACTAGAATTTTCAAAATAAATACCTTTGTAGAAGTGACGTTGAAGATCTAAAATATGTACTGGTTTTGGTGTCACCTCCCTTTGCCACGAGATCCAGCCAGGCTGACCAGCCAGGCATAGGCAAAAATCTTGCATGTGGTGACAGAAGATATCCCATGACTGATGTTCCTTATTCCAGTGCAGGTATAGGCTCTGAATGGAAGCCCCAGTGTTTGGTCTGTTACCTGTACACTTTTGGGGGGGGGGGTGTCTTCCTGCCCTGCAGCCCATCTGGCCAGGCCAATGCAAAATGAATCCATAACCACTGGAGACAGAAAGTGTTACCTTCATCCCACTATTCTGATAATCACAAATATTCGCATTGTCCTTACTATGACAATACAATATATACGGCTTTGTAAAGTTCCAGCTCCCTTACTCACACTAGGAAACTCCTTACCCTGCAGATGGCTCCACGGCAGTTACTGTTCAGTGCTTTGCTTCCCATTAGTCACATCTTGGAAATACAGTTGGTAACTTCCCCATTTGTGCCTGGGCAAAGGGTTTCTCATTTTAGACACACACATACCTCCACACCCCACCTACCTTGTACCATCTCACTGATTGCTGCTATAAACAAGTCAAGGCTCTAGAAATGCTGACTCACAGTGCTAAGACTATGGAAAATATTTAGAGTTGCTAAAGAAGCAAAGCCCAGCAGGTTTCCTGCCCTTCTTCCTTATCTGCAAGCCCCTTGCCATGACAGGCTGTAATGAAGGACCTTGCTTCCTGAGAGGAGGCAAAAAGTAGGTACTTGCTTCCTAAAGATAGCCCAGATTCCTTTGAATTCCCAGTTGCTAGCTAGTAATTGCAGGCAGGGGAAAACAACCCCCTGTGCTTACAACCGCAGGGCTACAGATGTTGAGAGATTAATGGCTCCTGGGCAGGTTTTCTTGCCCAATGCAGCATTGCTCACTGCAGTGCACTTCCTGGGACAGGGTGAAGTTCCTCTAAAATGCCCCAGTATCTTCTGTGGAAGGCGGCTCCTCACCTATGGACTTACTGCACAGCTGAGTCAGTGCAGACAGGCAAATCACTATTTGCTTTGGGAGGGTCGACACCAACAAAGACACGGGCAGGCAGCACTGCGTGCAAATTCTGGTTCCCTGTGGGCATGTCAGTGCAGGCAGGGACGGGGACTGGTGCTCACACTGAACTGGGGCCGTGGACAGCAGTGTGGGGAGAGCGGCACTATCCCGACGGGAGCCAGTCTGGGTGCATTCTGCCTGTGTTAACACGGTGCTGCGCCCAAACTAATCGGCCCTGGATTTTATCCAAACGACAAACTGAGCGCCTACCACATCAACAGCTTGTTTTTCCCCACTGGGAAATGACCTCCTGTTGCAAAAGGCAGAGCATTTAAGGAAACAGCAAAGTTTTATAGCCACACGGTTCACGTGGCAAATGACTTCAGAAAGCCGAAGGAGCACGGAGCCTTTATGAATGGCTGGGATGGGCAGGTTGCAACGGGGCTGCCTCCTCCTCCTCCTCCTCCCCTTACCTACGCAGCTCATTTGCAAAGAAGCAGAGGCTGATGAGCTACATTTACAAGCTGGGCAGGGCAGCCCAGAGAGCAGCTCTCACTGAGGGGAAGGAGCAGGCTGTGGTGAGAGCTGTATTGCAGTACTCAGAAATGACTGGGCTACATGGTCATGGTGGTGGTATCGAGTTGATTTTATCTATAACCTATTCTAAGTGCAGTCTGCAATCAACATGGCCTGTAGCTTCTAAATGCACTAGAAGCACACAAGTAGGGGTGCAGAGCTTCCTTTTTTATTGGCAGCTGATTTTCAGCTGCACATCAAACGAAATCCTTAGCAAGTTGATCCTGTGCATAATTTTCTCTATACTTGTCAATATGGAGACTCATTTGGCTGAAGTCTCCCTCTTTTGAGGCTACAGGAGCCATTTTACATAGGTGGGGACAGAGGCTGGCCCTACAAGGCTCTCACACTAGTTTAAGAACAGTAACTATGGTGCTTTTGCCCTCAAAGCAAACCTGAGGTCCTGTCAGTCCTTCATCTCCAGTAAGCGCTGTGACAGTGAAGGTGCTCAGTGTGAAGATGGCCCTGTATGAAGAATAGATTGGATCATAAACGCAGAAACAGCTGCTTAAGCAGAACACAAGGAATAGAAGCAATGATGTTGCTGGGCAGAGAAAAGCATTGCAAGAGCTCACAGATAGCCTCCTTTCTCCACAGGCACATGCGCACTGCTCTCACTCAGTCACATTTCTCTCAAGCTTCCTGGTAGCAGCATCAGCAAGTGTGTTCTGTCACATCTGACTGGCTACAGGACTCTGTCCTCGCCTGACAGTAATGACCTGGCCTTGATTTTTCACATTCTTGTTGCCTCCTTCCCCTCCTTCAGTGCTATAAAAGCACTAGGCATGAAACCTGCAGCACAAAGGAAATTCTCACTAGCACAGCCTGCTGCAGTACACTTACCTCAGCAGCACAGGGGCTGCAGGCATGGCAAACCTCACATAACCTACATTAGATTCCTGTAACGTTCCAAATCAGGCACTTAACTCCCAGACTTGGCTGAGACTCATCTCCATGGCCAGACTTAGTATACACAACAGAGACTAAGACTCCGAGGATCATGGTGAACAGCTTTGTTCCTTTGGTAAAATGTAATGCTCTACAAAAACAGACAGTTCAACCCCACAAAAACAGTCTATTTTTGGCCCAAGAACAAATACTGAAATCCCCCCAGAATGAAGGGCCATCTAGATTTCTCCAAATGCAAATTGCACTGTAAAAGATCAACTCTCTGGTTGAATGGCTACGGCAAAACACACTTGACACTGCCATGGCCTGGCCTCTGATCCACCGCTGGCCAGAGGTGATGTCATGGGCTGTGTTCACTGTCTGGAAATGAGGAGCAAGAAACACGCTGTGCTGGCTGGCCAGCCAGTCCAGTGACACATCCTGACATGGGCCACAAGGAGACAGGAACAGACTGATAACTCTTAAACGTCATGGAAACCAAACCCAGGGAGAAGTTGTTTGTGTATAAGCACACTAACTTGGCCAGTGGCAGCGGGTCAAACCACGCCTTTGACACTTTAGTCCATCTCTCCACTGCACCTCCTTAGTCCTTTCTTACCCCTTCTCTCTCTTTCCTCAAGGCTACTTAGCTAATTAGACTGCTGCTGTCTCTGCTTTGTTTATCCCAGTTCTACCTGCACTGAACAGCAGCAAGAGTGCTCTCCCCCTGGTGTCACCACTACCTTTGAGAAAAAAGCTGACCTGCAAGCTATTTTAAGCCACATTGTAAAGTTGTGGAGCTATTTTGGTCACATCTCTGTATGAAAGCTGCAGGACGCTGACAGGCTCTGTGTTTGCCTAGGGCAACTGGGGCTTTAACTGGAATGGCTTGTGACTTTGCATTAAGGCTTCTCTGCCCTGCCCATGCCACAGGACTCTTTACACCAAGATTTGATTTCTCTTCCTTTTAGGAAAGAGTAACACACCTTTCTGAATTCTGCTGGATACCAGAGGCTCTTTTAAGGCCTCTGCAGAAGGTGTTGTTTGTTCTGTTGGCTCACTCACTCCCTAGGAGGAGGCAGGTGCAATTATGAGTTCACAAAAACACCGGACAAGATTTTATCAATCCTCCTTTGCATCAGATCTTTGTAAAAGATCACTAAATGTTAGTCTAGTGCCTGCTGAGAAGCTGGGTGCTCATATCTCTGTGGAAGTAAAAGGAAGAGCAGAAAGGAACCATTTGCATAGCAACATGTTGTTCTGAATACAAAGTAATGCCTGGGAGCTCTGGGGTACATCCAGGGCATCGGGCAGAAGGTGCCTGGTCTAGACAGTTGTTTTCTCTGGAGTGCCCAAGGGTTGGTTGCCAAGTTTGCTGGGGTTCTGTAGCAGGTGCAAAGCACAGGCAGAGTAGAAGCCAAAGCAACTGGATTTAACAGAATTAAGCCCAGAGATACAAAAAGAAGCTTGAAGGATATGAAACATGAGGTAAATGACAGGAGAGAAAAGAAAAAACTGAAACTGGTGTATTTCGGACAGATGAGTCAGATCTATAAAGGAGGAACAAGGGAGTAACTCTGTATGGAAGTTGTCAGCCAACCCACTCCAGAAAAGTCCCCTTAGGACTACTGCTGTCTGCAGCTACAGTGCATGTTTTCCCAAGACCCTTCAGGCAGGGTATTAACAGTTGTGCACCTACTTCATTTGGAACGAGCCCCTGATGCAACAGGAAGATCAGAATTTCACCAAGTCAGACTTCAAAGTTTCTCTCATATATTCTTTCCCCTCAACTTTCTTCTAAAGGTGGTTCTTAAGCAGTTCTTACACCAAAACCTACGTCCCGCTTCTAAGGTGAGCCATTTCTTACGTCATTGATGCAACTTGCACCTACTTCCATGAGTCAGCACAAGGCACATATCTCCTCCATAGCAGGATCAGTGCCTGCTAACAGGATGGACTGTCCCAGGCAAACACTGGTGACCTGTTGCAAACAGGTTTGATTGGCAGAGCATCTCTGTATTTCACTGCATTTCATCTCTGTGTTTCAGCAGAAGCTGCTTCAACTCATTTGGTCCCGGGCAAGCATTAATCTGTTATATACTTTACTGTCTTCATGCCAGGGAAATCAGCTGACCATTAACTAATATTTCATGACATGTAAATTAAAACTAGCTTAGTAAGAATTTAACTTTTTAGTCAATAGGTGGAAACAGCATGGACAGAAAGTATTGTTTAATATGTTGTTATTTTAGCAGGACAGAATGGAACTGTCGCAGTTCAGATCAGACACAGAGACGTGTCCAGCAGCAATATGTCAAGACCTGTTGGATCAAAAAGCTCAGTGAAGTGCTTTGTGTTTCAGCCTCCCCCAGAGCCACGCACAAGACTAGCAGCAAGCATTATATGGTGAAAATGTTTGGGTCAGATCAAATAACAAAGCGACATGTTGCATTATTTCCCTGCTGAGCTTCAGCAGCCTTTCTTTGGGACACTTTGGGACACTAGCAAGATAACAAACACAGCACGACAGGAGTGTCTGACACATAACCTGTTGGCTCCTGCATGGTGGACCCGTGCTCCTGCTAGCATGAGCTTTGCCAGTGTAGGGAGTAACTACTTCACCTTTTATCATCTCTCCAGATTCTTAGTTTTCATCCACTTTCACACAATTTATCACTGGTCTTCACCAATTATTTAATGAAGACATCCTATCACCATCTCCACAACGCAGATATTTTACTAGTAAAGAAACTAATTTTTAAAAATATCCATACACCTGTTCTATTTTCCTGTATGGAAACACCAGGCTTACAGTAACAAATCACAGGCAGCTCACCCCATAGACGTAGTCAGAGGTTGTCCACCAATTGTGTGGTTCCCGACAAGCACACGCCACGCTGGAGCTGACGACTGCAATTGTTCCCAATCTCCTCTAGGGAGTGCAGTCGGAAAGGAAGAGATGGAACTGCAGCGCACATGCCAGCTGGGAATCGGTGACTCAGGATATTCAGTCATAAATGGTGTCCGTCCCTTTCCAGCTGAACGCAGGGAGCAGCGATGAGGTTTGAGCTTGACGTAAGAGCAGGGTTCTACTCGAACCCGAGGTATGCCTTAGTATGTGAAAGACAGCTCTGCCAAGATACTAAAATTCAAGATGTAAATCAAGGATGTAAATATAAATAGGGCTTCAAATCCTAGATCAATCATTTAAGCCAACGCCCCCACAACTGAATGGAGGATGGGCAGCACATGGGGCTTTCGTCTCTTTCGCCCAAGTACTTCATGATGCACTTCCATCAGGTCACACAGGAAAGGCATTCTCAGTCTCAAAACATCATCTAGGCCTTGGTCTCCATGCAAAGAACATCAGAGACGTTAATTTCTAGAAGTATTTTGTGGGTATGTGCACAGTGTACTAGAAACTGGACACATCAATTTATTTCACCCTGGATTCATGAAATAGCCAAGCGAATAATATCTGGCTGATCTCCATGGTAAGGAATCAAGGATGAAAAGGTATAAGGTTGTCTATTTTCTCCTTACAAATCACATGTGTGCCTTGATTCTATGACCTTCTACACCTTCTTTAAAGAAGGACCAGAACATAAAATGAACATAAAACCAGATCTTTGCCCTCTTCCTCCACCCCCAAAATAATAATAATAATAATAATAATAATAATAATAATAATAATAATAATAATAATAATAATAATAATAATAATAATAATAATAATAATAATAATAATCCATGTTCCCAGTCTCAAGAAAAAAAAAAATTAAGGAATGCAGAAGTCAATATCATCTACCTAAGGCAAAGGGTAAGAGAACAAATTTGCCAGGTAAGAGTTTGGACAGAAAAGCAAGTCTGTAGGAGGGACATACCTACATTCAGGGAGGTGGCAGGGTTGATCCCAAGCACAGCAGAGGACACAGTGACTTCTGCAGAGTTACTGACACTTTGTGACAAAGTAGGTCTGTAGAACCAGTGAAGAGCTGCAGCTCTGAGGACAGTGGGGAAGAGGAAACCAAGAGACAGTAACGTTGCTGCTTATGGACAAAGCTGCCAGGCTGACACAGACAATTTGCCACATACAGAAATCACCTACAGCAAAACAGGGACAGACATTCTCATATCCTAAGGACAGCAACCAGACCAGCAGCCAGGGACTTCACTTTCAGCCAGGCATTTAAGTGGCAGCAGATACCTGTGGGACAAAGCCAGTCTTGTGACTTTAGAGACTAAAAGTTCCCTCAGTAGCAGGTGAGAAGACAAGAGCTTCTGTTTCTAGATGTGGGCTTTGCAATTAAACTGCCAGCAGCTGGCTCAGTTTAGAGCAAGCAGCATTGCTTGTATCTGCTCGTGTGTGACAGCCCAGGGGAAGGAGGTACAGGCACTGAGCACAAGCTTCATGTTTACTCAGCAAGCACCAGCTGAAGAGAACCATCTGATTTCTAAACTCCTGTTGCCTCCCACTTTTTCTCTCATCATCACACTACATATCTAAGCCACATATAAGATATCACAAACTAATTTGCCCATACAGTCCCTTTATTACAGCTCCTGTTGCTCTTTGTTCACCTGTCTCCCTCAACCAGCATACTGGAAGCCCCACATACTGACACAGGAGGAAAAGAAAGAGCAAAAACCTGTAAAAACTGATAAATAAAAAAGGACCATTAGCTCTTTCTTGCCCTTGCAAATGACAGAGCATCTCCTCCCTGACCTGTCCCATCCACTCTTAAATTTTCCCACCAGCATTAATTTCTATTGATGTCTTGAGTTACAGGTATTTTTTTAGCAGAAGCAAGGAAAGGCAGGCTTAGCATCAAGAGACCCTCAGAAATCTGTAAGAATATTTTTGGTGAGGGCACAATTGATTTCTAGGGGGATGTTTATGATGTATGCATTAGCACAGTCTCAGAACTTCGTTCTCCACCTATTTAGGATTCCCACACTGGATTTTACAACCTGCCTTCACATATGAGATGTTGAAGCTTTCAATGAGGTCACGCCAGACACTGACAAGCACTGATGGGTGAGTCATGCTGCAGTAGCCAGAGATACTAGCAACAGATTTGTTAATCTGTATGCAGTCTAACTCTTTTTCTGGTCTAGGATCTTATTCAAGGGTGAAATACAATGTCTCAGAGGTAGGTGACTGCAGAACTGCTGAAGAGCAAGGCCATATTTTCACAACTATTTTACAGATTCTAATAAGAATCAGTTCCTGGGAGCATGTTTACAACAATGTACAATGTTGGTTTAGCTACAAAATCTATAAAACAGGAGATCAAGATCCAGATGGGGTCAATGGTGTTGATTGCAGATGACTGGAAAAGCCACTACGCTAATATGGAATCTAAGTTCCACCAGCTCTTGCTCCAGCAGTTCCGATCATCATGTCCAGCAAACTGTTCTTCCAGAAGCTGCATCCCTGTACCTGGGTGAGGAGGTGTAAATACACATCCATACATCAGCCAGTGTAGGACAAAGGCCAGTGCAGTCACAGCATTGTTAGGCTTGGGTCTGAGCTAAGACATCCAGCCCTAACCCAGCAGGATCAGGCACGGAGCAAACTCTCTTCTGCTGGCTCTGCTGTGGAGGGGAAACCTACGGAGAAGAATTAGACCAGACCATTTCCTGATCTGCCACAGGAAAATTCTCCATGGAAGCTTTGGAAGTGTGGCAAGAAGGACACATAAAACCATGGAACAAATGAGATATGGGGAGTGAGTGCACGACAGCAGAAAAACGTTTCATCATCTTGGCTAAACTACTGGACAGTCAGAAAAAGAACCAATAACAAAGGGAAGAGGCAAAGTAAATCTAAAAGAAATTCTGCAGACAGACAACAAAGATATGAGGTCCTGTTGTATTTTCATTGTTGCAAAGCTAAATTAAGCTTCCTAAGTCAAGCAGTGAAATAAGTATTTTAGACTTCTATTCAGAAAACAGCATGAGCAGCAATTGCCAGTGGACAACTAACAAAAAGTGCCTTCTCTCAGAGAAAGCAAGCCACCAGCAAATTGCATAATTGTAATGAGTTTCCTCCCAGTTTCACATTATTAGTCACCTTTCACCCTTCTCTGCCAAAGGCCTCTTCTTACCCATCCATCCAAGGACCAGAGCCAAGGCACAAGCCTTTCCTGGGCTGCTTCTTTCCACCAGCCACTCTTCAAGGTCAAGGCCTCCACAATACTGATCACTGTACCCCATTCCAGGCATTCTGAACCAATGCCAGAGTAAAACCCCCTTCTGAGTAAAACAGCCCTGCTGTTGGGAAAAGATCCGAGACACTCGAATAGACCTTCCTCATACTCAGTTGTCATGGCCTGGAAAAGCAGTTAGTTCTGAAATTGTGAAAATATTTCAAAGCAAAACCATTGCAAAGATTCATCGAGGAGCCTTCACTAGCAGAAGACATCCTACCTAGAGTCCCTTGGAAACCTGTTTGACTCAGGTGGAAATGACCTACTGGCATTTATTTGTAATTGCCCAGCATGGCAGTGGCTGAGGACGGAAAAGCTATTGAGTCACACTCCAAGCCACTTTTCCACTTCTGTCTGGTTGCCCAGAGGGTAGAGTGGGACAGTCAGAAGGCTGAGATTTTGTTTATGGCTCTGAAACTGATTATCCACATGACCTTGCATGTACTTCTTGTGCCACCATTTCCCCATTTCTTAATAGCTAAAAACTCTCGACTCGTGGGTCAATCAGAAGTGCCCAGCAAGGAGCATGTTTGCTTATCTAATAAAAGGTAAGAGAAGAGTGAAGTGGCATTATTGTTGTCATACAATACAAAAGCGGTTACGTAATAACATCAGTATTGCTTCATTTTTGTCATTACAACACAAACTGTCAGAGGGACACTGCCTGACATGGTATCTTCATCCCGGTGGATGTACCCAAGTGTTTACTTCATTGATACAAAACCAGATTACAACGATCTGGAAGACTCTACCTCGTTTCTTTTGACCATCTAGAACATGTTTTTCCTGTATAACCTCATAACCCATAATAATGGCCCGAAGTGCACTATAGGAATGATGGCAGGTTTCATGAGCTAGTAAAAGGAAAACAATTCCTCACTTGTGCATTGCTCAACTGCTCACACACTAAAGCACACGAGCGCTTCTCTTCTTTGCAGGAAGACAACAACATGAAAGTTAATTTCTAAACTGGAATATCATACACACACAGAATACACACAGAATACTTTTAAAATAATCTCAGTGCCGTGAAAGAAAATTAAAAGAACTCCCTAATTTGGCTAAATTACATTCTGCTTGTCTGATGACAAATTTCCTAAAAAAAAAAAAAAAAAAAAGCATTGACAAATGCTGTTCCTAACTGCTCTATAATTAATAACCAAATTTCTTGGCTTCAAGTTCTATGACTTATTCTAAAATTTAAAATCCTTTGCTTAAAAATGGCCAGATTCAAGCGGCGTGTGGACTGAAGGCTGAGGAAGGCATGGCTGTGATTACAGCAGCTGAAACCGTGCCCTAATCACTCCCTTATCTTCCTTATCTACTGCAAGTATTTATAAAGCAATGATTACTGTACTAGGCCACATCACTGCTCTGAGTTTGCTCTGAACCAGCACCTTTGTGTTGCTGTAAGAAGTTCACACTGCTAGAGCTGGTGTCATTTTGCTGAGACAGAAAGCCAAGCTTCTCATCACTTAAAGTCATTAAAAAAAAATAAACTATGACACCTCTAAAGGAGTAGGGGTGTTAACCCCAATGTCCTGGCCGAACTCCCAGCTCGAGTAATTACGACGTGCCTTGAATAAATTCTTGCCACAGTTTCCTTTGGACACAGTATTGTTCTCTACTTCCTCTCCTACAATATTATGGAGTGCTGATGCATGCTCTTAAAGGTCCTGTCCGTGCTGGAATGTCATACAGGTCTACCCCAGGACCAGCTCTGCAGCAGCACATTGGGAACAACGTGTTGAAACCAGTTCTGCCTGTCAGCTGAACCGCTAGGCAATTTGTAATATTTATTTATTGATGTTCTGGCACCTCCTCCAGATGGAATTAACTTTGGGTATGGCTAACTGATAGATAGACTGGTGCAAATCCCAGACACAGATATACTCTTTTATTACATAAAGTTCTTTAAATGGACTAAATTTGCATCAGGAAATTAGCAAATGAAGGTAAACTAACTTTCTAGGTGCCTGCTATGGTCACCTGAGAAGGCAGCAAGAACGTGCCTCACGCACAGGACTAGGAAAGCTAAATGTGCTGCTTAGTTTAGATGTCAACAATCGAGTTAGTTTTCACACTGGCTGTTCCTTCAGAATTTCAGTGGACTTTTTCTAAACTGTCTGTTCACAGACGATACTGTTTATTTTTGAAGCAGTCACTGAATATGTACCAAACACAGATCTAGTATTTTAAGTAAAATACTTGACTGTTAAAGCAAAGCCATTATTCACATTTTTCTGCAGCCACTGTTATACTCTAAGGATTTTTACCTAGCGCTCTCATTATCTTTTTATGTGTGTAACACAAAGAGCTGAGGCCCAGACTCTCTGCTGGCATTTGCCGGGTTAGCTCCACAGACCTTGCTAACTCTCATAATTCATGAGCTTTAAAGGCAATTTGTCTGCAGGAAGAAGTACAAGATCAAGATTCAGAAGAATCCAATTTTCAATTCTACCTTATGACCCCGTGGGCGGATCACTCCCTCACTGCTCCATTTTGTTCTCCCATCTCCAAAAGCAAATGATACCCACTAATTTGACAAAACAAGAACAAAATCAAATTTATATTGACAGGCCATGCTGAACGGTTTCGCCTCAAACACCATTGTTCTAACATTTGAAAATACAAATATTTACTTTTCAAGCATGTCCCTAATTTCCCCAGAAGCATGTCTCCAAACCCATTTTATTTCAGAAGACAGAAACTGTAGTTTCAGAAAGTGAATGGTTTTATTTTTCTGTCATTACAAAAATGCCTTTTAACTTGTCAAATGATACACTACAAATATCTTTGGCAGATGAATGAAACCAAGTTTCCTGTCATAGCTGCCAACTTCGAGGTTGAGATAATCAGATAAACCTTTAGTTTGCTTCTCCCAGTACCTAAACTACACGTGTTTGAAGTCATCCACATCTGTCTTACTTTTCCTATTGGGATTTGAAAAGGCAAAGTGTCAGACCACTGTGCCAAGTTCACAAAACTCTAGGTGTGGTCCACAGTTGTTACGGCCAATCTCTGCTCTCAACTTTCCTCAGGTTTCCCCCATCCCAGGTTGAATAGTCCCCAGTAGCTCTGCTTGTCTAACAGTAAGTGCCAAGTTCACATAAATAGTATCCAGCATCACCCTCAATGCCTGCTGGATACAAAGCCTTATGATACAAAATACCTATTAGATTATGGGAGAATAGGAAGGAAGTTTGTTTCGCTTGTTTTATTTCAGCAGGAGCAGTAATACTGGATTTATGGAACTGGATTATTTCATACTGGGGACACTTCAAAACTGAATATTTGCAGGGCATTTTATATCCGAGTGCACTGTCCCTTCAGTATAAGCCCGAATTCAAAAGCGGAAGCCATCCCTACAAACACACCTTTGACAAACTTTGTGTCTTATGTAACTGTTTCTATTCATTTATTATCAGGATGTCAGTACGAATTGTTATTTTGATGATTCCTTGCCCCCATACTTCTGAAAGGGAAAGCAACTGTAAACACAAGGGAGACTGACCTCAGTGATTTCCTCTGTTCAGACAGGAGCACAATGCGCTCAAACACCAAGACAAGGAGAAGTGGACTGTTTAGAATTCCTCCAGCTGTAATCTATAGTAAAAACAAATAAACAAATACGTGACTACAAGATGCGATAATTAATCCCTGCATGAAGCCAACTGTTATCTCTGCTTCATAGATGGAGATACCAAAGCACACAAAGGCTCAACAACCTACCAAGTTCAACACCAAGACTGAGAGCCAAGACTACAGCTTGGGAGGCCATGTGCTCAGTCCATGAGGTTTTTTTTCCCTCTTGTGACTACAAACCAGATACAGTTTGGCCAAGGGCAGGCTGAAATGCACCCATTTGGTGAGGACAGTTAGCACCTACCACCTCCTGGGATTGTCATTGCCTGTAGCTGAGCTGCTCCTGACTGGAGAGGCAGCTCCACTCGGCCTTACCCCAGCCAGCCTGCCCCAAAACCACTCTCCTCTGCCACACCTGCCCCTCTAAAGCTCCCCATCCATGTCCAGGCCCCATCTGCCCCATCGCTAAGCTCCCTTTCTCTCTGCTCCCTCCCAGAGCCCCCAGCCAAGCTGCCCCTCGCCTTTGCTCAGTCCTCACACCTGTAGTCCCCTCCCAGCCCTGCTGAGCTCCTACAGCCCCAGCACCAGCCCCCTACCATCAGCCTCCTCTCCCCCCTTCAGGGTCCCCGCAACCCTCTTCCTAAAACTCCCCTCAGCACCCTGAGGTGCCGGTTCCCTCCTATCCCTCTACGACCCCTTCACCCTAAATACCCCTCACATTGCCCAACCTGCCCCCTCAAACCGCCCCTCAGCAACCTCTGGCGGTCAGCTGCCCCCTCCTCACAGAGTCCTCACACCAACACCCCCTCTCAGAGTCCTCTCACACCAACAGCCCCTGACACCGCCGCCCCCTCCCCACAGAGCCCGTCGCGGCCGGCTGCCTTCTCCTCAGAGACCCCTCACATCGAGCCCAACAGCCCCTCCCGCCCCCGCGCCACAACTGCCCCTCCGCCCCCCCTGCCGGCCCCGCCCCTGCCCCCCCCACCGCCCCCCGCCCCTCCCGCCGGCCGCGGCGGTGCTGCTGGTGGGGGGGGGGAGAGGGCGGCGAAGTCTCGCGAGAGGGGCGGGCGGGGGCCGCTGGCTGCGGGCAGCGCGGAGCGGCGGCGGCGGCGGCGCAGCCGGAGCCCGGGCGGCGCTGAGGGGAGGCGGCGGCGGCGGGGCGGCGGCAGCGATCGCGGCCCGGCACACGGACCCGCTCCGCCGCGGCGGCACGGCCGGCGCCGCCCGCCCTCCCGCACGCCGCGCCTCCGCGGCGCGGCCTGGCCGCGGCTCGGCGAGCGGGGCCCAGGCGGTGGCGGCGGCGGTGGTGGTGGCGGCGGCTGAGCGCTCCGCCGCGCCCGCCCTGCCATCTTAGGTGCCGTGCCCCGCCGCCTTTGTGCCCGCCGCGCCCGGGCACCCGCGGGGGCCGGGCCCGACGCCCCTCCGGGGGCGCCTCCCCCCGCGGGGCCGCCGCCCCTTGCCCCGCTCCTCCTCCTTCTTCTCCTCCTCCTTCTCCTCGTCCTCCTCCTCCTCCTCCTCCGCGGGGGGCCGACCGGCGCTCCCAGCCCGGCTGCGGCGGAGGGTAAGGCGGGCAGCGCGGCGGGGGACTCGGCCGGGGCGGCCCCGGGGAGGGTGAGGGAGGAGGTGGATGATGGTTGGGGGGGGCGGCCCGGTGGGGCCGGCGCCTCCCCCGCCGCGCTCTGCGGCACTGCCGCAGGGTCGGGGCCGCGGCCGCCGCCGAGCACCGGCGGGGGAGCGGGCGGCGAAATGGCGCTTCCCGCGGAGGGGCGGCCGCGGGCGGAGGGGTGTTCCCCGCTGTCAGGGCCGCCGGAGGCCCAGGGCTGGGGCCGGGGCCAGGCGTGCCCAGAGCCGCGGCCCTTTTTGTCTGCGGCCCCCACCCCCCACACCCCACCCCAGGGGGCTTCGCCGGCAGAGCCCGGAACCCCCGAGGGGATTGGGGGTCCCTGGGAGACCCGCGTGCATTCCTGATTCCTGCCCTTTATTTTTTTTTTCCCCCTTTTATTTTTTTTCCTCCCTGCCCCTCGCTCCTCCCCAAGCGGTGAGTTTTCAGTGTATATACCATTTTGTTCGGTGCTGGTGTGGGATTTGGCTGAAAGTGACCTATTTTAAAGACCTTTTATTGCTCCCCCCCTCAGCAATGCATGTGGCGGCCGATTCCGTTACCCAAATAGCGTTTCCCAACCATTTTAATTTGTCAGATTAAAACATCTCATGGAGGCTGGATTTCTGTAACCCGCGTGTGGGTATGTCTTTAGAAATATCTCTCACCCCGCTTTGCTGCAAGCATCTTTGGAGCATCAGAGTTCACCTTTGTCACTGTGAAAACAGAAATAAATATCGAGGCGATACCTGGGAGATGCAGTTGTACCATTGTGTTGGGCGCGGTACAAGAAATGGGGGGGGGGGGGGGAGAAGAACCAGGGATTAAAATGGTTGTTGTCAACTGTAGATCTGTACATGTCTTCAGGAAAAAAAATAAGACAACGGTATCAGCACTGAGGACTTTTAATTTATTTTCTTAGAAAAACGTTTTGTGTTTTATCACGCTTGTCTCTGCTGCTTATCATGGTAGGGAGTATTTCATTAGGTGGCATTTTAGTGGCTGTGTTGGTTAAATAGCAGTTGCATTAACTAGTTGAACAAATTGTGTCCTTCACCTTTGACTATTGCATTTTGAGAGCCCTTACAGCAGTGTGCCCATGCATGCCAAGGGCGGTTTAATAAGATGTTACCTAAAGGTTTGCATGTTATTGATTCCTTACTATTAATGCTATTTATAGTGCGTTTGACATGGCTCTTGTTTTATGTATTTGGACAAAGGTTATCGGCTTGAAGTGCTTCAGATGAAATGTTCCCAAAATACCACCCCTGACACAAACACATGTATATATATTATTGAACGATATACCTCAGGTCTTCAGTGTCTGTAAAACAGCTTTAGCAGATAGCACATAATGGTGAAAACAGTGAAAAAATGATACATTTTGACACTAGTGAAGGTTTGTTTTCCCATTTCAGGATTACAGAATAACAAATTCTGTAGCAGTAAATACAATTTTGGGTACATTTTTCTTGACCCTACTTTGAGCCTACATTTTCCTTGCCTTTGTGCCTGCTCATAGTGAGCATGTCATAGTTTTTGCTACTTATGTCCAAGGGCAAACCTAATCAGCGATTGGTTTGAGCCTTCATATTAGATTCTCCACAACATTGGCCTAGTTCTGACTGGTATGTTTGCCATTTTTAGGACTCCTCTTCCTTTTACCCTTAGAGTGAAATACATTGATAAACTTGAACCTTAATTTGTCCTTTGAACTTGAGAGAATGTTTTTCTCCTCTGTTAGAATACCTCAATGAAGAGAAAGTGATTCTGGTAGAACAGCTTAATTTAGGTTTAATCCTGTTGAAACACAACTACCTGAAGTAAAAACTCCTTGGGTAGTTTGATATTATTTTTCTTTTTAACTAGACTGAATTAAGCGTTGGCTGTACAGGACCAGATGTTGGCATTAAAATTATGTACAGATAAGTTGGCTTAGACCTCAAGTTGGACTATTTGAAAAAGTTATCTGTGTCCTGCTGTTAAATTCTGGTGTAAGCTAAGCTGGAAAACTTTAAATGTTTACTTCCAGCTAAATAACATTTCCATTTGCGTGGTTTTCTTCTCTGTCTGTATTCATCAGGTTTTGTCACCAGAACAACAGATTTTTAATGATTTGTAAGACAGCCTCAGATTTTATGCTTGGTGAGATACATTAGAGGAGAAGCAAATATCACAGAAATAATTACATCTTCAGATGTATCCTAGTAGTGGATTTCCTGTAATGGGGATGTTTTGTAGAGAACAATAGATATGGCAGCAAATTCAGAGATTTGTTTTAAAGATGTTGTAGGTAGCTGACTCTGCAGTAGTGAGTTCTACTTTGACACAACCCTGACTCAACAGGAACATTAGATGGTTTCCAGGTACTTCTTTTTCAGGTGTAATTCTCTTCCTAGCAAAGACAGACTGGAGGTACTAATGCTGTTAGTTCTCATGTCTGTTGCTTCTGCAAGGATATACTTTTGATCTAACTTAGTAGAGACTAAAGTTGTTTACAAAATATGCCTCATAGAAGTTATTTGACACTATAGGTGTTTTTTGAAGTAAGAAAATATTTCGGGTTGATCTGGTTCTCTCTGTGATCCAGAAGTGGTGAGGAAGCTATGGTAAATACCACGTGTCTTATTCCATTCTTAGTGTATTTTGGGGAACACTTGCATAGTCACTAAGATCCTATCTTAGAAGCATTTTCTGTTTTGTTCCTGTTCATATTAAAATCATGTAAACAACATAATGTTATGTTGAAGTACACACTAGAAACTATAAAAACCTTTGGTGTTACCAGGAGTGACCCAGGCTCTTGTCTTCTGAGTAAGTGGGCCTGGGTGACCATTACATTTTTCCTATCCAAGTATGCTACTTAGTGTGAAGGATTTCAGTTTTATTTTCTTTTGTGAACCTGGACAAAGGGAAGAGCTGAACTTCAACCCTGGGCTAGAATCATGACTGAATTGGAAGGTCTCCTGGGTCTGACAGCAGGGTTTCAGTTATGGGGGACACATGTCCTCCCTTGGTTGACTATGTTTGGGAGAAGCTTGTCTATAGCACCACAGAGAGGGATGATTTAATACCTTCTAAGACTGATGTCTGCCCTTTTTTTTATAGTTCTAGAATGTGTCTTACTCTTCTCACATTCTCCATCATTCCTGATGGACATGGTGCAGGATGAAATCCTGGTCTGTGCAGTCTGGTGCTTTCTGGCAAATGCCCCTTACTCTAGAAGTTTACTGAGGTGTGTGGTGCTGTCCTTCACTGCTTCTCCTTGTATGTCATTCCACTGGCTCTGGTCTTTGATCCTGCACCAGCAGAAAGCTAAGCTATGTGAAGATACAGAGAGTTTTGTGTCAGCTTGGCGATCTGAAATGGCTCAATGCACACTTAGGTGAGGCTGGAGAGAGCCCCAGGGACTGGGCTGTGCCACCACAGCCAGCGATGAGATTGGGAGACAGAGGTGGTTGGTGGCACTTTTTGCTAAACTTGCGGTGGTTAGGTTTCAGGATTCTTTGTTTTTATTGTCCTTTTAACATGCTGAGGAGTTGTGGAAAATACATTGATTGATTTCTATGTGGAGAAGAGACTGAAAAAAAAAATCCAATGGATGAAGGGTCAGAAAACCACTAATCCTCCTCCTGTGAAGTTCCAGAGGGAGAGTCCTTCCTGTGAAAAAAAACCCTTAAAATATAAAAACATGAAATCAGAGGTGAAGTGCAAAGTGTCTGAGGGGAAGAAGTGTGCACAAAACAAGAGGAAAGGATGGAGAGCTGTTTAAAAGCAGAGTTGGCTTTTGCACACTGTATTCCCTCCTTGTCTAAGTGCTCATTTACAATACAGAACATGGAGGAGGGAATACTTTCTGCAGGCCCTTAGAAACACAATGGACATTAGCCAGCACAATGGGGGCTCCAAACCTGGCTTGTTAAAGT